AGTAATCCAACAATGTGTACACCACCATTGTCTATTTCAAATCTTCTCTCATTGATTGAGAAAGGTGAGTGTCATGACATGCAGCACTTTGGGGTGGACACCCACCTGTCTCAATCAATGAGAGAAGATTTTAAATAGATAAGATGGCAGTGTACACATTGTTGAATTACTTAATGGAGCAAAACATTTAATTTAATAACTGAGCATTTTCTAAATTCAAACGAAGCCCCTGCAACTAGACATGGACGTACATAGGTTGGTTGTCTTCCAAGTCGGAAATTGAGGAAGTATCGACAAGTTAAGGTTGGTAAAACATTCTGTGCTAAGCCAAACATTATATATCTAATAACGCTTATCAGCCAGCTGGAATAGAGTAACGGTCTGACTAGGCGATATTTTAATAGCTACATTAGATGAGGCTGCTTTTCTTCACCGACCACAGACCCATGTAATTAGGGGGAAGAAAAAAAAAATGTATCCCAGATGACATTTGCCCAATATCTTTTATGACTGCAAAACCTTGTCGCAACATTTTGCAGTCATTTTAACCAATAAAATGTAGAGAATAAAGATACAACTGAGCCATTAAATGAGATGTACTCCCCGAAGCTTGTGGCTTAAAAACGCTACAGGGCGCTATAACAAATGCAGCCTACCGCAATACGAAGTATTCTGTAGCCATATGTGTATCTTCATGATGCTCGTCTTCCCAAGTAGGCTTAGTGCCTCTTAGGTAGGTCCGCCTGCACAAGTTAGAGTATTAATTAGATATTTCTTTGGCCACATGAAGGAGGAAAAGTCGGGTCGGACTACATATCCCAGGCATCTTGTAAATGTGTGATTTCTCAGCCTCTGACGGGCTTGTTATTGTTGGTGACGCAATGCGCATCACGAGTTCCGGTGCGTTACCTCATAGAGGGGCGGTCAATGGAGTCAAGCCGTCGCGTTAAAAATTAGTTTTTAGCAAACTAATAAACTGAAACCTTAGATGAAGCATCAAGTAGTAATGCATTAGTTATAATGACTCCAAAGGAATTGGTTTATAGTTGAAGTTTTAGCTAGTTCATTTCAGTTAGACAAGTTAGCCAGCTAGCTAACCTCTTCGACTTCGTGCCAACAGAAAAGGCCTCGCCGCTTTCAACAAGGCCAAGCTAGCTAGCTATCTAACCTGCATAGGGACTTAATACACTCAAAACGTTTAAGTGTACTGTTGTTTTACATTTATTGGCCATATGTCGGAAGAGAGCGCATTGGTAATGCAACAGAATTTGGACAGGTGAGTTGAGTTTACCGTTAGCTAGTTACCAAACCAGTAGCGAAGCTAGCTAACGCGTTAGTAGCTAGCTAGGTGGCCCTTGGATTCATAGTTAATAACTTTACAAATTCTTACCTTGTGGCAAGTATTTTGTAGTTCAGCTAGTCATATGTTGCACGCTATAGTCATTGTTTCATCCAGCTAGGTAACTAAAACCATGGGTCTTGATCAGTGCGCTGGACCATCATCAGATGTGAGCTGGGGGGGGGGGGGTGTTACGCGAGACATCTGGCAGAGGATGGCCATAATCATCATGCAACCTCCCTTTTTGGGCGTTGAGTGAATACTCAGGGGACTGATTAGGATTTTGTACTGTCAAGGTGGTGGATAACGAACACAAATTAATTGCCTGTTCAAATGTAGCCTTTCATTAAGGTGTGGTGGAACTGTACTACTGCTTTTCCCTTCACACTAGTCAAGGTTGCGAGGGTCACCCTGGCCCAGACCTGGGTATGCTCCTGTCCTGAGTCTGATAACAAGATGCACATGTATTTCCAATGTGCTATGTGTACATTTAAAATCTTACTCACCTCACAATAAAACACAACCTGGGAAAGAGCGTACCTACCCCAGGCCATTTCAAATTTGAAGTCTACTACAATATCGCTAAACCCAATGTCAAACCCTAATGGAAAATGCTATTTTAAATTAGATTCTGCTTTTAAATGATAAACTTCAATATGCATTGGGGTATTTGTATGTATTATGGATCCCCATTAGCTTACTCTTACTGGGGTCCAGCAAAATTAAGGCAGTTATACATTTGAAAAACATTACAATACATTCATAACAGATTTCACAACATATTAACTGTGTGCCCTCAGGCCCCTACTCTATACCTCATTTATCTTGTGTTTGTATTCATGTCTATGTTTGTTGCTTCACAGTCCCCGCTGTTCCATAAGATGTATTTTTATCTGTTTTTTTAAATCTAATTTTACTGCTTGCATGAGTTTACTTGATGTGGAATAGAGTTCCATGTAGTCATGGCTCTATGTAGTACTGTGCGCCTTTTCCATAGAGGTTTTAGGCTAAACCTTGCAATCGAAGCTCATCTAAAATTTAGAGACCTGTGATGAATGCCGTGACTATGGATTGTGGTGGTGCTCCAGAGTGAGTTATCGATTTGCTCCTGTTGTAGAGTAGGCCTGTTGTCTGTGACCTTGCCAATGTTTTATTTTCCACTATGTGCCATATTTGCCAGAATGGCCCAGCTTGCGTCTGAGTGCCATAAAACAAATTCGATAACTGCTTTGGGCACAATAAGTGAAACGCACAGGGTGAGCTGTTTTCTACTAAAGCAGGTGGCATGGCACATTTTAATAACTGGATCTTTGAACTGTGAAAACATATTTTTTAGATAATAGGGCTAACTTTTGTGCAGTGAAAATGGTGGAAGGAAGCCTCTGCGATTGCTAAATGTGTAACAGCTTTGCATGCCGCTGCCATGCCAGGGCTCTACGCTGACATTTATTACAAGGAGCACTTGTTCTCAAGTTTAAAAATGTGGGAGCACACACAGAAATGTGGGCGCACAATGTAAAATATTTGAGATATTAATGTTAAGAATTGCCAGCAATTAAAAAATACAGGGGTTATAAGCACCAGAATATTTTATTTTAAAGATTGCGCATAACCTATATTGGGCCTAGGCCTATATGAACCCTAGCTACTTTTACAAGATCTCCTTTTTCCTTTATTTCTCTGCTACCAAGTGTTTGCATGCTACTGGTAAAGTTACCACAAAGATTACGATGAATAAACTCTGGAGATGGCTTATGGTAGAGAAATTAACATTTTAAAATCTCTGGCAACAGCTCTGGTGTACATTCCTGCATCTGTGGTGGTGTTTGACAAAACTACACATTGTAGTGTGACCTTTTATTGTCCCTAGCACAAGGTGCACCTGTGTAATGATCATGCTGTTTAATCAGCTTCTTGATATGCCACACCTCTCAGGTGGATGGATTATCTTGGCAAAGGAGAAATGTTCACTAACAGGGATGTAAACAAATGTCTGCCCATAATTTCAGAGAAATAAGCTTTTCGTGCATCTGGAAAATTTCTGGTATCATTTATTACAGCTCATGAAACATGGGACCAACACTTTACATGTAGCGTTTAATATTTTTGTTCAGTATCTGATCGGCTAGTTTTTGGACAGGGTTGATGTAGGTTAATTTAATCATAAAATGTAACCATGAAGACTAAAGCGATTAGGCTCTTATCTTTTATGATACATTTATGACATTGTTATAGTGTATGTAGGCCTATAGGTAATAGTTATGCCATATTATCATTATAGACTGACCTGATGACGATATCCAAAATTCTACAGCGTATCACAAGTAGAAAACGTATCCATCACCTCCTGTCTCTTCTTATTGGAGTTATGTCATCATTTTATGGGAGGTAAAGATTAATTATTTCATTCACCCATTGAAATGCCAACTGTTCAAGGTTTAGTGTAATTATGCAAATTGAGATGTAAATGTCATATGGACAGATTGGAAATAGGGGGCTATTCTCATTGACAAACATTTATGGAGAGGCAGTGCGACAAGATTTAAATTCTTCACGTGCGTAACTCAGCTCTTTACATGCGCACAGCCCCAGCCAGGGAATGTTGCAGAGCGAGGTGGGATAGGCTATCGTAGTTCTTTGACTTTGTGCGATTTTAATTTACTAGCTATGAAACTAAATGGCTGAAATTTGAAGTTTGAAAACAGCTATTGCAGCATTTCTTTTGTTAGAATGTGATCATACTTGATTATTTTTATTCACAAATGTGGGTGAAATGCTCCCACTGTGAACCACCTGCCAACGTGGCTGATGAAATAGACAACTTACCCGCCAATACCAAAATATACCCGCAGGTGGCGGATGTTAATTTTAGGCCCTGTTGATGATTGAGTTGGAGACGTGCATGGCCATGCTGTCATAGGTGAACAGGGAGTACAGGAGTGGGTTGAGCACGCACTCCTGTGGGGCCCCCGTGTTAAGGATCAATGTGGCGGAGGTGTTGTTGCCTACCCTCACCACTTGGTGTTGGCCCGTCAGGACTACGGGACCCAGTTGCTATGGAATCTAGTGGAAACCAGATGGGAGGTGAGGGAGACTAAGTGAATTGGTAATGTTTTTGGTGACAATCAGCTTTGAAATCAGCATATTTTGCGTTATGGTTATCAAAAAGTACTAGGGTAGTGAATTCAGCTGTAAGCTAGCAAGGAATGTTAGCCTACGATTAAAGCGGGAAGCTACTGGTATCGTCTTGCATTGTAAAAGTGTTGTAGCCTGTAAGGATATTGTTTTGCGAACCGTTATGAAGTTTCTACATGCCGTGCTGCATTATTCAAGTGTGTTAATTTCTGTGCAGCATGACTGGGTAGCTAACAATGCAGCCCAGACAGCTCTAGCAATGAATGAGCAGCCTAAGTGGAGCAGGCACTTTGCTTTACGTGCTATAAAGTGGCTGCGCTGATACAGACTTGATCCTCTCTATCACGTGACTCATCTTTAAGAGGAGGACCGAACATAGCAAATTCTAGTACCTAATGTACAGAGGTTTTGGTATACCGTGCAACACTAGTTGGAGGAGGCTCACAGGTTGCTAAATGACCCTTATGGCCTACTCCCTGGCTGAGCTGAATACCAGTAGTAAGGGGGAGAGATGACCTATTCAATTATGGCTTGGCTCCGGTTCAGAACTCATCTGTCTGAATGTCCCGGAGAAGGAGGAAGATGATGATTCTCCGTCTCCTTGCTCCGACTCCACCCTCTCTGCTTCTGCTGACTAGAACACAGGTGTTAGAATATTGCTCTACAAGACATCTGGCATATATGTGGAATGCAGTGGAGGCTGCTGAGGGGAGGATGGCTCATAATAATGGCTGGATTGGAGTCAATGGAACGGTATCAAGCACGTGTTTCCATGTGGTTGATACCATTCCATTGACTCCATTCCAGCCATTATTATGAGCCATCCTCCCTTCAGCAGCCTCCACTGGTGGAATTGTGTTACAAAGGCACACACACCGTATCAAGCATGGAGCTAAACTAGGAGGCTATAAACTAGTAGGCTATAGGAGACAAACTCATACACATCAACAGGGTTTATCGCTGGGTGCTACTATTGATTACATTCTTTCTTCCTGCATTGATCAAATAATCATTATGCCCATTGTTTTCTATTAGTAGGTGACGGTCACATGTTTGAGAAAAGACTTGCAGGTAGTCTCTTTCCCTTTGCATATGGTCCTAGACATTCTGACGCTGTCTGCCTTGTAGGCCTATTGATGTACAGTGAGGGGAAAAAAGTATTTGATCCCCTGCTGATTTTGTAAGCTTGCCCACGGACAAAGAAATGATCAGTCTATAATTTTAATGGTAGGTTTATTTGAACAGTGAGAGACAGAATAACAACAAAAATCCAGAAAAACGCATGTCAAAAATGTTATAAGTTGATTTGCATTTTAATGAGGGAAATAAGTATTTGACCCCCTCTCAATCAGAAAGATTTCTGGCTCCCAGGTGTCTTTTATACAGGTAACGAGCTGAGATTAGGAGCACACTCTTAAAGGGAGTGCTCCTAATCTCAGTTTGTTACCTGTATAAAAGACACCTGTCCACAGAAGCAATCAATCAATCAGATTCCAAACTCTCCACCATGGCCAAGACCAAAGAGCTCTCCAAGGATGTCAGGGACAAGATTGTAGACCTACACAAGACTGGAATGGGCTACAAGACCATCGCCAAGCAGCTTGGTGAGAAGGTGACAACAGTTGGTGCGATTATTCGCAAATGGCAGAAACACAAAAGAACTGTCAATCTCCCTCGGCTTGGGGCTCCATGCAAGATCTCACCTCGTGGAGTTGCAATGATCATGAGAACGGTGAGGAATCAGCCCAGAACTACATGGGAGGATCTTGTCAATGATCTCAAGGCAGCTGGGACCATAGTCACCAAGAAAACAATTGGTAACACACTACGCCGTGAAGGACTGAAATCCTGCAGCGCCCGCAAGGTCCCCCTGCTCAAGAAAGCACATATACAGGCCCGTCTGAAGTTTGCCAATGAACATCTGAATGATTCAGAGGAGAACTGGGTGAAAGTGTTGTGGTCAGATGAGACCAAAATGGAGCTCTTTGGCATCAACTCAACTCGCCGTGTTTGGAGGAGGAGGAATGCTGCCTATGACCCCAAGAACACCATCCCCACCGTCAAACATGGAGGTGGAAACATTATTCTTTGGGGGTGTTTTTCTGCTAAGGGGACAGGACAACTTCACCGCATCAAAGGGACGATGGACGGGGCCATGTACCGTCAAATCTTGGGTGAGAACCTCCTGCCCTCTGCCTGGGCATTGAAATGGGTCGTGGATGGGTATTCCAGCATGACAACCCAAAACACACGGCCAAGGCAACAAAGGAGTGGCTCAAGAAGAAGCACATTAAGGTCCTGGAGTGGCCTAGCCAGTCTCCAGACCTTAATCCCATAGAAAATCTGTGGAGGGAGCTGAAGGTTCGAGTTGCCAAACGTCAGCCTCGAAACCTTAATGACTTGGAGAAGATCTGCAAAGAGGAGTGGGACAAAATCCCTCCTGAGATGTGTGCAAACCTGGTGGCCAACTACAAGAAACGTCTGACCTCTGTGATTGCCAACCTGGGTTTTGCCACCAAGTACTAAGTCATGTTTTGCAGAGGGGTCAAATACTTATTTCCCTCATTAAAATGCAAATCAATTTATAAAATTTTTGACATGCATTTTTCTGGATTTTGTTGATGTTATTCTGTCTCTCACTGTTCAAATAAACCTACCATTTAAAATGATAGACTGATCATGTCTTTGTCAGTGGGCAAACGTACAAAATCAGCAGGGGATCAAATACTTTTGTAGGCTATGCTTGTAAAAAGGCTGTAATAGGCTGCCTACCCTTTGATGCTGCTCGGCATGTAGGTATAAACAGCATTTCAGTTCATTTTGCTCACTTAGCAGATTCTTTGTTATTGATCTTGTTTGAGTTGTGCACGGTCACTGCACCAGAGTGTGTCTCTGCTCTGTATTCCAGGACACATCTATTTAGTCTACTGTCTGAGAGGAATCTTCGATCAATACGCTACTCTGTAATCGGTCCCAAGAGCTAGGCCTAGCCTAACAAAATACACTTTCTTCGAAAATCAACCCCAAGTATGAAAGCCTGTGTTTTAGGAGGTGACTTTTTTTCTGCTGACTGCCCACTTTCACCAAGTGCTATCCCCCTGAGGCCATGGATGAGATTACTTTACTTGGTCCGGGGCGGACAGTGCACTCCCAAGCTTCTTATATCTTCCTCAGATATAGGGGGATTTTGATTTTTGGTTCAGCTGCAGTGTAACAGCATACACTGTGTATGTGTTTTTTATTTATACATACATACATACATACATACATACATACAGTTGAAGTCGGAAGTTTACATACACCTTAGCCAAATACATTTAAACTCAATTTTTCACAATTCCTGACATTTAATCCTAGTAAAAATTATGTGTCTTAAGTCAGATAGGATCACCACTTTATTATAAGAATGTGAAATGTCAGAATAATTGTAGAGTGATTTATTTCATTTTATTTCTTTCATCACATTCCCAGTGGGTCAGAAGTTTACATACACTCAATTAGTATTTGGTAGCATTGCCTTTAAATTGTTTAACTTAGGTCAAATGTTTAGGTTAGCCTTCCACAAGCTTCCCACAATAAGTTGGGTGAATTTTGGCCCATTCCTCCTGACAGAGCTGGTGTAACTGAGTCAGGTTTGTAGGCATCCTTGCTCGCACACGCTTTTTCAGTTCTGCCCACACATTTTCTATAGGATTGAGGTCAGGGCTTTGTGATGGCCACTCCAATACCTTGACTTTGTTGTCCTTAAGCCATTTTGGCACAACTTTGGAAGTATGCTTGGGGTCATTGTCCATTTGGAAGACCCATTTGCGACCAAGCTTGAACTTCCTGACTGATGTCTTAAGATGTTGCTTCAATATATCCACATAATTTTCCCTTCCTCATGATGCCATCTATTTTGTGAAGTGCACCAGTCCCTCCTGCAGCAAAGCACCCACACCCATGTTCTTTGGCTTGCAAGCCCCCCCTTTTCCCTCCAAACATAATGATGGTCATTATGGGCAAACAGTTATATTTTTGTTTCATCAGACCAGAGGACATTTCTTCAAAAAGTACGATCTTTGTCCCCATGTGCAGTTGCAAACCGTAGTCTGGCTTTTTTTATGGCGGTTTTGGAGCAGTGGCTTCTTCCTTGCTGAGCGGCCTTTCAGGTTATGTCGATATAGGACTCGTTTTACTGTGGATATAGATACTTTTGTACCTGTTTCCTCCAGCATCTTCACAAGGTCCTTTGCTGTTATTCTGGGATTGATTTGCACTTTTCGCACCAAAGTACGTTCATCTCTAAGAGACAGAACGTGTCTCCTTCCTAAGTGGTATGACGGCTGCGTGGTCTCATGGTGTTTATACTTGCGTATTATTGTTTGTACAGATGAACGTGGTACCTTCAGGCGTTTGGAAATTGCTCCCAAGGATGAACCAGACTTGTGGAGGTTTACAATTTTTTTTCTGATGTCTTGGCTGATTTCTTTTGATTTTCCCATGATGTCAAGCAAAGAGGCACTGAGTTTGAAGGTAGGCCTTGAAATACATCCACATGTACTCCTCAAATTGACTCAAATGATGTCAATTAGCCTATCTGAAGCTTCTAAAGCCATGACATCATTTTCTGGAATTTTCCAAGCTGTTTAAAGGCACAGTCAACTTCGTGTATGTAAACTTCTGACCCACTGGAATTGTGATACAGTGAATTATAAGTGAAATAATCTCTGTAAACAATTGTTGGAAAAATTACTTGTCATGCACAAAGTAGATGTCCTAACCGACTTGCCAAAACTATAGTTTGTTAACAAGAAATTTGTGAGGTGGTTGAAAAACAAGTTTTAATGACTCCAACCTAAGTGTATGTAAACTTCCGACTTCAACTGTACATACATACACACACACACACAGTGCATTAGGAAAGTATTCAGATCCCTTGACTTTTTCCACATTTTGTTACGTTACAGCCTTATTCTAAATTTGATGAAATTATATTTTTTCCTCATCAATCTACTTACAATACCCCATAATGACAAAGCAAAAACAGGTTTGTACAAATTTTTACAAACAGAAAAACCTTATTTACATAAGTATTCAGACCCTTTGCTATGAGACTCGAAATTGACCTCAGGTTCATCCTGTTTCCATTGATCATCCTTGAGATGTTTCTACAACTTAATTGGAGTCCACCTGTGGTGAATTCAATTGATTGGACATGATTTGGAAAGGCACACAACTGTCTATATAAGGTCACACAGTTGACAGTGCATGTCAGAGCAAAAACCTAGGCATGAGGTCGAAGGAATTGTCCGTAGAGCTCCGAGACAGGATTGTGTCAAGGCACTGATCTGGGGAAGGGTAAAAAAAATGTCTGCAGCATTGAAGGTCCCCAAGAACACAGTGGCCTCCATCATTCTTAAATGGAAGAAGTTTGGAACCACCAAGACTCTTCCTAGAGCTGGCCGCCCGGCCAAACTGAGCCATCAGGGGAGAAGGGCCTTGGTCAGGGAGGTAACCAAGAACCGGATGGTCACACTGACAGAGCTCCAGAGTTCCTCTGTGGAGATGGGAGAACCTTCCAGAAGGACAAACATCTCTCCAGCACTCCACCAATCAGGCCTTTATGGTAGAGTGGCCAGACTGAAGCCACTGCCCAGTAAAAGGCACATGACAGCCCGCTTGGAGTTTGCCAAAAGGCACCTAAAGACTCTCAGACCATGAGAAACAAGATTCTCTAGTCTGATGAAACACATATTTAACTCTTTGGCCTGAATGCCAAGCGTCACATCCGGAGGAAACCTGGAACCATCCCTACGGTGAGGCATGGTGGTGGCAGCATCATGCTGTGGGGATGTCTTTCAGCGGCAGGGACTGGGAGACTAGGCAGGATCGAGGGAAAGATGAACAGAGCAAAGTACAGAGAGATCCTTGATGAAAACCTGCTCAGGACCTCAGACAGGGGCGAAGGTTCACCTTCCAACAGGACAACGACCCTAACCACACAGCCAAGACAATGCAGGAGTGGCTTCGGGACAAGTCTCTGAATGTCCTTGAGTGGCCCAGCCAGATTCCGAACTGAAACCCGATCGAACATCTCTGGAGAGACCTGAAAATAGCTGTGAAGCGATGTTTCCCATCCAACCTGACAGAGCTTCAGATGATCTGCAGAGAAGAATGTGAGATTTTCCCAAATACAGGTGTGCCAGGCTTGTAGCGTCATACCCAAGAAGACTCGAGGCTGTAATCGCTGCCAAAGGCGCTTCAACAACGTACTGAGTAAAGGGTATTACTAACTAATTCGCTAAAATTTCAAAAAACCTGTTTTTGCTTTGTCATTATTGTGTGTAGATTGATGAGGGGAAAAAACTATTTAATCAATTTTAGAATAAGGCTGTAACTTAACAAAATTTGGAAAAAGTCAAGGGGTCCGAATACTGTGTGTGTGTATATGTATATATACACTACCAGTCAAAAGTTTGGACACCTACTCAATTCAAGGGTTTTTCTTTATTTTTATTGTAGAATAATAGTGAAGACATAAAAACTATGATATAACACAAATGGAATCATGTAGTAACCAAAAAAGTGTTAAACAAATTCTTCAAATAGCCACCCTTTGCATTGATGACAGCTTTGCACAATATTGGCATTCTCTCAACCAGCTTCATGAGATAGTCACCTGGAATGCATTTCAATTCACAGGTGTGCCTTCTTAAAAGTTAATTTGTGGAATTTCTTTCCTTCTTAATGCGTTTGAGCCAATCAGTTGTGTTGTGACAAGGTAGTGGGGGTATACAGAAGATAGCCCTATTTGGTAAAAGACCAAGTCCATATTATGTTAAAAACAGCTCAAATAAGCAAAGAGAAACAACAGTCCATCATTACTTTAAGACATGAAGGTCAGTCAATACGGAACATTTCAAGAACTTTTAAAGTTTCTTCAAGTGCAGTCGCAAAAACCATCAACAGCTATGATGAAACTTATGAGGACCACCACAGGAATGGAAGACCCAGAGTTACTTCTGCTGCAGAGGATAAATTAATTAGCGTTACCAGCCTCAGAAACTGCAGGCCAAATAAATGCTTCACAGACACATCTTAACATCAACTGTTCAGAGGGAACTGTGTGAATCAGGCCTTCATGGTCAATTGCTGCAAAGAAACCACTACTAAAGGACACCAATAAGAAGAAGAGACTTGCTTGGGCCAAGAAACACGAGCAATAGACATTAGACCGGTAGAAATGTGTCCTTTGGTCTGGAGTCGAAATTTGAGATTTCTGGTTCCAACCACCGTGTCTTTGTGAGGCGCGGTGTGGGTGAATGGATGATCTCCGCATGTGTAGTTCCCACCGAAAAGCATGGAGGAGGAGGTGCTTTGCTGGTGACACTGTCTGTGATTTTATTTAGAATTCAAGGCACACTTAACCAGCATGGCTACCACAGCATTCTGCAGCGATATGCCATCCCATCTGGTTTGGGCTTAGTGGGACAATCATTTGTTTTTCAACAGGACAATGACCCAACACACCTCCAGGCTGTGTAAGTGTTATTTTACCAAGAAGGAGAGTGATGGAGTGCTGCATCAGATGACCTGGCCTCCACAATCCCCCGACCTCAACCAAATTGAGATGGTTTGGGATGAGTCGGACGGCAGAGTGAAAGAAAAGCAGCCAACAAGTGGTCAGCATATGTGGGAACTCCTTCAAGACTGTTGGAAAAGCATTCCAGGTGAAGCTGGTTGAGAGAATGCCAAGAGTGTGCAAATCTGTCATCAAGGCAAAGGGTGGCTATTTGAAGAATATAAAATATATTTTGATTTGTTTAACACTTGTTTTGGTTACTACATGATTCCATATGTGTTTCATAGTTTTGATGTCTTCACTATTATTGTACAATGTGAAAAATAGTAACATTAAAGAAAAACCCATGAAAGAGTTGGTGTGTCCAAACTTTTGACTGGTACTGTATGTATGTATGTATGTATGTATGACACACGGACGGACTATTATGACCTTCACAGAGTAATTGTATTACTCAATAGTTTGGGGGTTTTGTAGGCTTTAACCTTATTTCATTTTAAGCCTACATTTCATGGTGAATGCAAGGTCACATGTAGTCTGTCTTGTCTTGGGTATGTTTGTTCTCTCATCCTGTTCCAGAGGAGCTCTCTCTCTCCCTACATACCACTCAGTGCCCAGGGGGTGAGGCTTTGGTTGTGTTTCCTGCCTCTGAACATGCTGTTGATTCAGCCAGTGTGTTTGGTAGCTCTGAGGTTTACAGGGTGGAGGTCACATAATCTGGATGAATGCAAACCCTCTCCCTGACACACAACCATTAATTCATTGTCAAATGCACTGAGAATACTTAACTGGTATACAGACATTGATAAAAAGACCGACCCCAGTGTTTCAGCCACTGTTGGTGCATGCGTGGGTGCATTAGCCTTCTCGTGTGTGTTTATGTGCCTGTGGAACAAACCCTCTCCTGTTTGTGTGCGTTTCAGGAGCTGCTGGGTGTGCTTTGCCACGGACGAGGATGACCGCACGGCGGAGTGGGTGCGTCCGTGTCGCTGCCGCGGCTCCACCAAGTGGGTGCACCAGGCGTGTCTGCAGCGCTGGGTGGACGAGAAGCAGAGGGGCAACAGCACGGCCCGCGTGGCCTGTCCTCAGTGCAACGCCGAATACCTCATCGTCTTCCCCAAGCTGGGTATGATATGACAGGGGTGGGGGCCTGTGGGATATGGGCTGGAATGTTCCTGGAATATTAGCTGGAGGTAGTTAACGTTACAGTGAGTTCCTGAATTGATGCTTTCACGCTGTTTGTAGGCCACATTATTGAATTGGTCTCACCCTGTTCAAGCGAGTGTCTTTCCTGATTTTCACACATCAGGAGTAAAGAGATTAACATGCATTAACTGCTTATGTGATGTGTTATGATTTCAGTCAGTTATGATTCAGGCCCATGTGAAAGATATTTATGTCATTAGAGCGTTTTGTAATTCCATGGCAGCTTACCTAACAGATCGAGACAGCTTTGCTGCGTCTGTCAGCACACAGCCACGTAATAACAGCTGAATCACGGTCAAATTTGTAGTATCTCACTTTACTGTCACTTCACTGTCAAAATGTCATAACAACCCTTCACTTCCCTACCCTTCCAAAGGGGAAGTAGCATTAGAAGGCAATTTCCATGCCTAAATGAACTTCTGAATTGGTCCTTTGAGGACATAGACAACTAATGGCTGTTGTTGCTGTCTTTCTAATAACGGTTGCAGCACAGGGACAGTGACTCAGTGCTGTGAATTAGGAGGGGGGAACTGAGAGCTCTAAAAACCACTCAGCCTGTCTCAACTCACTGCATGTTTATTTACTCCCAAAGCCAGGGTAGGTTATGTGGTGAGTCTGGTAAATATACCCTTTGAGGGAGAAGTAACACAAGGAATTGGAGCGGGCAGGGCACCCGCCAGATGCTCATTACCAGACCTGGGTTCAAATGTTATTAGACACATTTGAAATAGTTTGCTTTAGCCTGCCTGGAGTGCCAGATAGGTGGGCTTGGCACTTGTGCGACTATTCTAGCAGTTCCATTGCACCAGGCAAGCTCAATAAAACTCAGCGAAATCATTTGAAATCATTTCTAATAGTATTTGAACCCAGGTCTGCTACCCGCTCATTACCGGCCAGCTTCAGCCTCACTGGAAAATGCCAATTTGGAGAGGGGGTGTAGAGAGGAGAGTTGCCCACTGTAATTAACCCCAGCACGTCAGAGTGACGGGGACACTGATTGTTCCCAACACTGGCACTTAGTTATCAAGTAAACACAGCCAAACCTCTCCAAAAAGTGTTGCCTTGCAAATGTCATTTTCCTTTAGCGTTTGTTCCTCAGCTCAGCGTTTGTTCGTTCGGCGATTACAGACCTTTCAGCTCCGTCAGTCACCGTAAGAGAGGAAACTTTTATGTAAGTGGAAACCCTGGAAACTGCTTTGGGGAATAACACTTGTACATTTTATAGCACCTGGTAAGCTATTAAATCACTCTGCATACACGTCTAATTAGTGTGTAATTGGGACTAGGTACAACCTATGAAGTAGGGCCTGGACATAAGACAATGTATTTGGGAGGGCAAGCTCTGCTGGTAAGCAGGGCCACGTTGTATTTTTAGATGAAGGCCTGGCTGTGCTGTCAGTCACCTGTGTTGCTATAAGCAGCAGGACTGGAGCATAGAGATCAGGGCACTTAGTTCTACCTCGTCTCTGGAGCTTCGGTTCAATGGGAAGATTCTGGGACAGTTCCTAGTCTCGTATGCCAAGTACAGGACAGAACTAATGATGTGTCATTGATAAAGTCACGGCACATGACAAACCGGCACCCAATAATTCTCAAGCAGTACTCTGTGAACTTAGAACACAAATCAGATCAGTGGCATTTATATTTCCATGTTCACGTTCACTTCACTCACCCATTTTTTAAAAAAAGTATCTGGCTCACTGAAAACATAATTATCCTGTGTCCCATCATGGAACCGTCTCTACTGCTTAGTATTTCAGATAACATTGATGGAGCATGAATCCATACTGGGGAATTTGGTTCGGTGGCAGGCTTTTTGAATGTCATCTCTGATTCTCCGCATAATGAGTAGATGAGGCGACTAGTGAATCTCAATGTGAATATTTTCCTCTTCTTTTGTTCTAGATGGGCATTACTCTCTCTCTTTCTCCCAATATGTAAATGCTAATTGGGTGTATGGAGTAGCCTGACACTGGGCTTGCCTGCATGTTCAGTAAATAACCTTGTCTCTGTCTTCTCTCCTGAGGCCCACCATGCCTGCTGCCTGCCTGGTTATTCTGGGATAAGTGTCTGTGTCACACTCTACCCTTGCCCCCACTGGTACATTTATCCGGTTAACCTTCAAAACAGGTGAAAGGAGGAAAAAAAGAGATGTCTCCTGTTTACTCTCCAATCCCATGTCCCCCCCCCCCCCCCCTTCCCCCCCCCCACACACACACACACAGAGAGAGAGGAACTAATCTCTCATTCCCATTCAGTAGCTACTGAAGACTTGTTCTGGACACTTTGTTTCATCGCCCCCTTTACTATCTGGCTGATCAGTAGAACTTCTTTGTGGTCGGTTGTTTTTGGCCAGCGTCTTCACAAGATTAGCCATCCATGAAATATGTCCTAAATGTTTATTATCAAGTTCATCAGTTCCCCTACACACACATCCTCCACAAGTTTTGTTTGTGTTCCTTTTTCTTTTGAATACCCCGGTGTTTTTTTCATTTCCAGGCATTAACAATGATAGATGAGGGATTGTGTACTCTGTGTGTGTGTGTGTCCGTGTAAATAGGCAGTTTTTTGTATTTTTCGTACATATTTCCCTATCACACTTTTCATCCTCCTACTAAATATACTTTCCTGCAACCCGCCTCACTCAATGTGGAACGGATTCTATTATTGACTTACCTTTTATCTAGAATCTCCAGTTGAAACTAGCCAGCCAGCTAACTAGCTACTTGCTATTAGCCACCGTTAGCGGTTTTCACCCAGAACATCGGATTTTCTGCCGGAATAACTGAATCACTGGACATTAACACCGGATCGCAACTAGCTAGCCGCAACCGAATGGATGTTGCTGTTGGCTAATCACTACTGCCCCCGAAGCAAGCACCAGTTAGCCTTGAGCTAGCCTCGAGCCAGGCCCATATCCCAGCTATCTACCTCTCTGTCTACCGGACGGGAGTAGCCAGCTAACTAGCTACTTGCTATTAGCCACCGTTAGCGGTTTTTCACCATTGTCCGTGGCCTGCACTACCTACCAGCCAGCTCTAGCCTGGACTATTATCGGCCAGTCTGCACTGTCTTTAGAGCGCGTTATCGACCAAGAATATATCGGTTTTTCTGCCGGAATCACTGGACCTTTAACTCCGGATCATCGCAACTAGCTAGCTGCAACCAAATGGATGTTGTTGTTGGCTAATCAGCCTTGAGCTAGCCTCGAGTCAGGCCCATCTCCCAGCTATCTACCTCTCTGTCAACCGGACGGGACCTCCTAGAGTCGACACGGAGCCCCGCTGATCCATCACGACTGTTCTGCCGACGTAATCGTCTGTGGTTTCAACAGGCTTACCGTTGCGACGACCACGAAGATCCATCTGCTAGCCCCGGCCCGCTAGCACATGCAAACAACAGCCGTGCTTCCTGCTAGCCTGTGCTGTAGCACCAATTCGAACTGCTCTCGGACTCACATATTGCTGTTCACTGAACCTTATGATCACTCAGCTGCACAGCTGATGCCTGTTGGACTGTTCCTTTACACGGTACCCTGTCCTGTTTAGCCTCAGCCCAAAACTTTATTGCCATTACCAGTTGTTGTCTTAGCTCTCTCGAATAACACCTGTGATTGCTTTATGTCTCTCTCCCATGTCAATATGCCTTGCCTATTGCTGTTCCAGTTAGTTCTTATTATACAATTTCACTGTAAAGCCCCAAGTCCCTCTCAAACTGCCTCAAATAGCTCCTTTGTTCCACCCCCCATACACGCGGAGACCGGCTCAATCGGTGCCTCCAGTGATGCTATCTCTTTCATTGTTACCCAACGCTTAGGTTTACCTCCACTGTACTCATATCCTTGTCTGTACATAATGCCCTGAATCTATTCTACAACGCCCGGAAATCTGCCCCCTTTACTCTCTGTACCCAACGCACTAGAAGACCAGTTCTTAAAGCCTTTAGCCGTATCCTTATTCTAGTCCTCTGTTCCACTGGTGATATAGAGGTTAACCCAGGCCCTGCAGCCCCCAGTATCACTCCTACTCCCCAGGAGCTATCATTTGTTGACTTCTGTAACCGTAAAAGCCTTGGTTTTCTGCACGTTAACATCAGAAGCCTCCTTCCTAAGTTTGAGTTATTCACTGCGTTAGCACACACTGCCAACCCTGATGTTCTAGCAGTGTCTGAATCCTGGCTTAGGAAGGCCACCAGCAATTCAGAAATGTCCATCCCCAACTACAACATTTTCCGTCTAGATAGAACTGCCAAAGGGGGTGGAGTTGCAATCTACTGTAGAGATAGAGCTCTGCAGAGCTCTATCATACTATCCAGGTCTGTGCCCAAACAGTTTGAGCTCCTACTTCTAAAAATCCACCTTTCCAGAAATAAGTCTCTCACTGTTGCCGCTTGCTTCAGCCCCCAGCTGTGCCCTGGACACCATATGTGAATTGATTGCCCCCCATCTATCCTCAGAGTTCGTACTGCTTGGTGACCTAAACTGGGATATGCTTAACACCCCGGCCATCCTACAATCCAAACTAGATGCCCTCAATCTCACAAAAATTATCAAGGAACCTACCAGGTACAACCCTAAATCCGTAAACATGAGCACCCTTATAGATATCATCCTGACTAACTTACCCTCTAAATACACCTCTGCTGTCTTCAACCACGATCTAAGCGATCACTGCCTTATTGCCTGCGTCCGTAACGGGTCCGCGGTCAAACGACCACCCCTCATCACTGTCAAACACTCCCTAAAACACTTTAGCGAGCAGGCCTTCCTAATTGACCTGGCCCAGGTATCCTGGATGGATATCGATCTCATTCCGTCAATAGAGGATGCCTGGTTGTTCTTTTTAAAAGTGCTTTCCTCTCAATCTTAAATAAGCATGCCCCATTCAAAAAATTCAGAAATAAGAACAGATATAGCCCCTGGTTCTCCTCAGACTTGACTGCCCTTCACGAGCACAAAAACATCCTGTGACGTACTGCATTAGCATCGAATATCCCCCGCGATATTCAACTTTTCAGGGAAGTTAGGAACCAATATACACAAGCAGTTAGGTAAGCAAAGGCTAGCTTTTTCAAACAGAAATTTGCATCCTGTAGCACTAACTCCAAAAGGTTTTGGGACACTGTAAAGTCCATGGAGAATAAGAGCACCTCCTCCCAGCTGCCTACTGCACTGAGGCTAGGAAACACTATCACCACCGATAAATCTACAATAATTGAGAATTTCAACAAGCATTTTTCTACGGCTGGCCATGCTTTCCACCTGGCTACCACTACCCCGGTCACCAGCTCTGCACCCTCCGCTGCAACTTGCCCATGCCCCCCCCCCCCCCCCCCTAATAATCTGGGCTAGACAATCTGGACCCTTTCTTTCTAAAATTAGCCGCCGAAATCGTCGCAACCCCTATTACTAGCCTGTTCAACCTCTCTTTCGTAACGTCTGAGATCCCCAGAGATTGGAAAGCTGCCGCGGTCATCCCCCTCTTCATAGGGGGTGACACTCTAGATCCAAACTGCTACAGACCTATATCCATCCTGCCCTGCCTTTCGAACGTTTTTGAAAGCCAAGTTAACAAACAGATCACCGACCATTTCGAATCACACCGTACTTTCTCCGCTATGCAATCCGGTTTCCGAGCTGGTCATGGGTGCACCTCAGCCACGCTCAAGGTCCTAAACGATATTATAACCGCGATCGATAAAAGACAGTACTGCGCAGCCGTCTTAATCGACATGGCCAAGGCTTTCGACTCTGTCAACCACCGCATTCTTATTGGCAGACTAAATAGCCTTGGTTTCTCAAATGACTGCCTCGCCTGGTTCACCAACTACTTCTCAGATAGAGTTCAATGTGTCAAATCGGAGGGCCTGTTGTCTGGACCTATGGCAGTCTCTATGGGGGTGCCACAGGGTTCAATTCTTGGGCCGACTCTTTTCTCTGTGTACATCAATTGTGTCGTTCTTGCTGCTGGTGATTCTCAGATCCACCTCTACGCAGACGACAGCATTTTGTATACATCTGGCCCTTCATTGGACACTGTGTTAACAAACCTCCAAACGAGCTTCAATGCCATACAACACTCCTTCCGTAGCCTCCAACTGCTCTTAAACACAAGTAAAACTAAATGCATGCTCTTCAATCGAACGCTGCTTGCACCCGCCCACCCGACTAGAATCACTACTCTCAAGGGGTCTGACCTAGAGTATGTGGACAACTACAAATACCTAGGTGTCTGGTTAGACTGTAAACTCTCCTTCCAGACTCACATTAAGCATCTCCAATACAAAGTTAAATCTAGAATCGGCTTCCTATTTGGCAACAAAGCCTCCTTCACTCATGCTGCCAAACATGCCCTTGTAAAACTGACTATCCTACCGATCCTTGACATCGGCGATGTCATTTACAAAATAGCCTCCAACACTCTACTCAGCAAATTGGATGTAGTCTATCACAGTGCCATCCATTTTGTCACCAAACACCATATACTACCCACCACTGTGACCTGTACGCTCTTGTTGGCTGGCCCTCACTACATATTCGTCGCCAAAACCACTGGCTCCAGGCCATCTATAAATCACTGCTAGGCAAATCCCCGCCTTATCTTAGCTCATTGGTCACCATAGCAGCACCTACCCGTAGTATGAGCTCCAGCAGGTATATCTTACTGGTCATCCCCAAAGCCAACACCACATTTGGCCGCCATTCCATCCAGTTCTCTGCTGCCAATGACTGGAACGAACTGCAAAAATCTCTGAAGCTGGAGACTCTTATCTCCCTCACTAACTTTAAGCATCAGTTGTCAGGGCATCTTACCGGCACATCATCTCTTGCACATCTATCATTCCAGTGTTACTACTAATTGTAATTATTTTGCACTATGGCCTATTTATTGCCTTAACTCCATAACTTGCTACATTTGCACACACTGTATATATATTTTCTGTTGTATTTTTGACTTTGTTTTGTTTTACCCCATATGTAACTCTGTGTTGTTTTTATCGCACTGCTTTGCTTTATCTTGGCCAGGTCGCAGTTGTAAATGAGAACTTGTTCTCAACTGGCTTACCTCCTCTAAATGTGCCCTAATCTGTTGAAAGTTAACGACCTTTGTATAATCGTGTAGTAGGCTTAGGCCTCGATCACTCATCGTTTATTGAGTCGTGTACACAGGCTCATAGGGGCTTATGTGAACTTCGATTTAACAGAGCATGAAAGTCCTCTGAAAGCTTTCGGAGACTTTCCGACACAGGGAGAGATGGGGAGCTGATGCGTGGTAAGACCTGTGCACCCACACTAATGATAACTTCCTGCAGAAGGCCAGGGAGCATACAGATGGGCATTTTTATTTACGCCATCTCCCAAGGCCCAGACCAATCTACTGGTCATCACCCAGGTGTTAGGAGGAGAAGGATGGGCAGAGGAAGAGACAGTCTTTGGTGCCTGGAGAAAGAGACTGAGGTAGACACCCACTGGGCTGTGTAGGAGGCAGAGAGAGGGTAAAAGATGGGGATGGGATGGTTGGTAGATGGGAAAGGATGATCGATGGCAAGAGAAAAAGAGGAGAGGCCTAATGATGTGGCAGTCAGTGAAGTGTACCAGTCTGCCTGCTCCCCCGAGCAAGCTTCCTTTGACTCCCACTGTGTTCAGACATACAGACAGAGGTGTAGAGAGAGTGGGAGGGAGAGAATGAAATTAGGCCACGGTATGAAGAGAGCAGCTCATCAACCAGCGGCAGAGAGGAGACTGGGGTTGCCTGCCACTGCTGCTGATGAATCACTAAAAACCTAGGCCTGAAAAATAGCCGACGGCTCAGACAACGAATCAGCAGCACACTGACGCTGCCAGCCTACCACCTGATTCAGCAATCTGCCCGGCGACTCCCCATTCTCCTCTGTAATACCCTGCCTGCCCTGGGGACTGGAAACGCTCTGACAAATCGCTTTCCTCTTGACATTTATGTAACTTCACCATGCCATCATTAGACTTCTGCAGCCACATTATGACATAGCTTCCAGAGGTCATGATGTCACACTGTCTGATGTGTGCTTTTCCAGCTGAACTCAACACAGTATTCTGCTCAGGCAGCCAGGCAGATTCGATGGACACAAGAGGATAGTGTGCTAGTATAGCGTCAGTGGGTCTCTCTGGGGTTATCAGTAGTGCTTAATTGATTATTTAGGTCCGATTAGCACATCTTGTTTACAACTTGTGCCGTAGAGCTTTACCTAGATTTCCTCTGTGCGTTTAAGTGCTAGGCTACATCACGGCACCTCACTGGGGGCTGCCTCTACCTTTTTTGAGGTGAACACAGCTACATTCATAGAATTACATATCGAATTTAATAGGATATCTATGGCTTCGTCTGTATGCTTAGGAGACATAGACATGTGCATTATAGTGTGCTTTGAAGTAAGCAGAGTGCTGCGCTCTGAAGTGAACACAAAAAGAACAGCACTATGTTGCTGGCTCCTTCCTACAGTCTTCTAATGTAAAGTACTAGTCTGTGTTCTGGGCTTGATCACTGGGGCATAGGCCTACAGACAGACACGGGACTAAACAGCTTCTGTGTCTGGATTTATATTCACCCGACTGTGCTAAAAGTAGAAGTAAACTTCTTTAGAAATTGTTTACTTTTCCTTCTGTTGGGAATGGCTTTAAGGGTGTTTCAGTGACTTTAATCAATCTCGGAAACATGGCACTTTCGCAGCTCACAGACATTGGAGGACAACTTTCGATTGGTCTAATAAAGGCAGAGCTGAAGAGATGGGTGCTGGGTGGTGTTAAGATGCTGAAGTGTAGTTATTTTCTCGGGGCGTTCTGCTGAGCCCAGCTCATTTGTTAGCCTGACAGGCATTACTCGTGTTCCTACTCTCAGGGCCGGGCCTCAGGTTAGTACGGCATCACATTGATTAATGTGTTTGGCTGTAGCACACCACTTGTGTCAGGTTTTTCTCTGCTAGTTGTGGGCTGTAAACTCTGAGATTTCTAGTAGGAAAGGAAAGTGCAGTTAGCACTGGTATGGGAAGCTAGCTAGATTTTTTAAAACCTCAGCAACTGATGATTTCCACCCACCCTATCATGCTGATTTGGCCGGTGGTGTAAAATGAGGGACGGTGTGACCTTGCTGGTCCTTCTGGGAGAGGGTAAAAAAAAGTGGGTTGGAACAGTGTGCCAACATGCCTGCCCGCCAGTGAGGAACTGGGATGCAGTTGCAGTTTTTCTCTCTCTATCCCACCCGTCCTCTTTTAATTATGTTAATTAGGAATTTGCTGAAATGAATTGCTCAGCTTTCCTTTTTGCCATTAAGTGTGACCCAGTTCCCCCTGACTGTGGATGGTTTAATGCTTAGGCTGGGACAAAGCGGAAGGGATTCCGACACTGTCATCAAAATATGCCCAGATTAATGTGCTCAAGTGGCACGAGATCAATCTGGTTGGCAAACATAGGAGTGGCAGAACTGACACGACGCAGGAAGCCAATGTGTTCGTAACTACTTTTAGAAATTAAAAGTGTTTGTTCCCCATTGTGCCTTTGGCAGCTTTGACGTGACAAATGTCACCCTTCCGTTGTTCCTTCAGGTATCTGTAGCCAGCTAAAAAGTCCGCTGCAGTCCTATGACTGCCTTGCATGCTGAGTAGAGGGAGAAAGCAGCCATCTTGGACTGAAACACCATTGTTCTTACATTTGAGACCTGATTTCATGGCTTTCTCCCAAAATAGCAGCGTCACTATAGGCATTCAGTGCAAATATAAAGTCACTGTTGTTTTAGCAGTGGGCATTGCTGGATTATTTGACCAGTTGTGGTCACCACCAATGTAAACTCCATTTTTGGGGGCAATGAGCAAATTTCAGCTCTGCTGAGCGCAAACTTCAACGTTGTGAAAATTCTGTGCGACTTCCAGCGCACGTTTCCTGTGAACACTGAGGCTGTACCTGCTTTAAGTTACAGTTTTAGCAGTGGCTATGCAGGCTACTGTGGCTATTTGATCATAATGTAGGCCTACCAGAGTGGCCTACCATCAAAAACAATGGAGAAAATGCATCCCATAACATTTTAACATGGAAATGGCTGTTCTATCATTCAGCCTGCAGTAGCAACCAATGTGTGGTGTTCAATTTAGGCCTACATTGCATGACACTTTTGAAAAAAAAAAAACAACATGCAGGGCTTGACATTAACCTGTTTATCCACTTGTCCTTCAGACAAGGAGGTGACTGAAAATGTTGTTTTGATGCAAGGAACCACTTATTACAGAGAATCAGACAAATTATGCTACCCTCTGCCTATTGGCTACTTAGCTTATTCAAGCCTGTCTCAAAATACAACACTGCCACTTTTAAGACCAAAAAAAAACTAACTGCCAAAGGATATGAACAAAATGTGCACACATGGCTACATGCAGCTCTCGCTTTGATCTCAAAACAAACGCAACTACTCACGACCGCTCATGCTGTAAACACAGTCCAGTTCAAAGTAAATGGCACATATCCATATATGGCAATGGTATATTTGCATATAGGCCTACTGTAGCTCTGATTGTTTATGCCACACCGGTCTATGTAAAGTATGGGCTGAGTAGTGTGTGTCAATGCAATAGAATCCTACTCCGATGCGTTCTGCCTACAACAAAATATCTTGCATAGTTCGTTTTGTTTCTGTATGATGCATTGAAAGTGGCTAATATTGCGTTGATTCGGTCCCAATTGCCACAGTAAAGGGAAATGTTGATAGTATTAACAAAGAACACTCTAGAACAGTGGTCACCAACCTTTTCTGAGTCAAGATCACTGAGTCAAAAAGCCGAGATCTACCGCTCAGATTTTTTTAAACATTACTTAAAGACGCATGCCTATGCAACATTATCCAATTAAAAACAGTACTGTAGCAATGAGGTTTGTGCAGTAAGCTATAGGCCCAATACATTATCACCACATATTGGCTTTGCTTGAATTGACATGCCAGTGAATGCAATGTTGTTCGGGCAATTTTTTAAAATTATATTTCAACATTTGTGGTAGGCTATATGATCACACCGGTAATAGGATCCGTTGTTGTATTACTTGTGAAGCACAGCTGAGTGAGCATACATAAAAATATATATTTAAAATTTTACTGGGCTGATGGTGCCTGCATCTGATGGTCAGTCTCAGCAGAGGGAGAGAGCAGCAGACTGAGGGTCCACCTCTCAACATCCCTCCGGTCTCCCTTTCCTCCACTGACACTGACCAAAAAGGGACACCGTCTTCCAGCTGATGGCGAAACTCGAGTCGCACCGCATTATTTCTGCCACATGCACAAATTCATCTTGTTACTCCTATGAACAGAGAAAGTGAAATATTCCTTGATAATAAAAAAGACCCAAGCCGCTAATTATTACAACAACGCTCGCCTATCGATACACTTTCCTACTCCTTCGTTACCTCTTGCAGTGCTTGTAGCGCTGAGTGGAAATAGGAAGAACGTGCATTTTATGGCTTATAAAAGTGTTGACAGTGCTGAGTAAGAACTTAAACATGAATTCACTCATAGAAACAGCATATCTTTGCTGTATTCGTTGACAGTCTCTCTCTAGTCATGGTTTTAACTTTCTTTTATACCTGCTACGTTACTGCAGACACTGTCATCTGAGCCATCCAATTGACCAGCAATGGGCTTATAGTGCACTTGATTTGCTCTCTGGGCCCGCCGGGAAGGCAGAGTTTGTACCGTCAGACACATTAACTGGTTCAAAATGGCAACAGTTTGCCTACCCGGCGCACAGGGCAGCTGAATCGGGTGCACCTACCGCCAGCAGCCCGAGACGAAGAAATAAATATAGGAACACAAGGCTTTATCGTTGTTTTTTTTACAGAAATGTTTGGCGATCAACTAGGAATGCCTTAGATCACGATCGACCAGTTGGTGACCACTGCTCTAGAAAGTTGAGTGAAGTTCAATCTTGTTCTTCTCTCTGTGGGCTGATATTTCTCAATAGTCAATAGTCAATAGTATCAAAGGCTGCACTGAAATCTAACAGTACAACTTCCACATTCTTCTTATCATTTTTCTTCAACCAATCAGTCATTTGTGTCAGTGTAGTACATGTTGAGTGCCCTTTTCTATAAGCATGCTGAAAGTCTGTTGCTAATTTGTTTACAGAGAAATAGCATTGCATTTGGTAAAACACCATTTCTTCCAACAGTTTGCTAAGAGCTGGTTGAACCAGTAAAGGCCGCTTTACCACTCTTGGGGAGCGGAATGACATTGGCTTCCCTCCAGGCATGAGGACAAAGACTGTCCTTTATGTTAAGATTAAAGATATGACAGATAGGAGTGGCTATAGAGTCAGCTACCATCCACGTTTTCAATGCCAGGAGGTTTGTCATTGATTGATGACAATAATTTGTCCACCTCTCCCACACTAAGTTTACAAAATTCAAACTTACAATGCTTTTAGTTTATTATTAGTTTTTTTATGCATGAATACGATGGCTCACTGTTCATTGTTGGCATTTCCTGCCTAAGTTTGCTGATTCTACCAATGAAGTAGTCATTAAAATAATTGGCAACATCAAATGGTTTTGTGCTGAATAAGCCATCTGATTCGATGAAAGATGGAGTTGAATTTGTCTTTCTGCCCATCATTTCATTTAAAGTTTTTTTTTTCCATCATTCTTTATATCATTGATCTTGGCTTCATAATACAGTTTCTTCTTCTTTTTGTTGAGTTTAGTCACATAATTTCTCAATTTGCAGTAAGTCAGATGTGCAACCAGACTTATTAGCCGCTCCTTTTGCCCATCTCTTTCAACCATACAGTTTTTCATTTCCTCTTTAATCTATGGAGCCTTAACAGTTCTAACAGTTAGTTTCTTAACAGGTGCATGATTATCAATAATTGGAAGAAGCAATTTCATGAATTCATCAAGTGCAGAGTCTGGATGCTCCTTATTAATCACATCAGAACAACAACTATTTTTATCATCCACAGAAGTGTCACAGCGAAATCTTTTGTGTGATGTCTTATACATTATTTTAGACCCACTATTTTAGGCTGAGAGAATTTGCAGTTGTAAAGCTAATTTACTGCAATTCTACACATTTTGCCATGGCTCATGCTATCTGAGTGACTCACATTATAACAAAATATGACATGGCATGACAGAAAATACTGAATGCATCAATTTTTGAATTTTAGGTTCTCCCTGATTGGTGATTTGTTAGTTCTTAAAGATTATCTTATTTAAAAATCAATATGTCCATTCTCTTTTCTGCATACTTTCTGGTTTTAGTAATTTAAGTTTACACTGTAAATGTTTTTCATCCCTAAAATTATTTTCACAAAAAATAAGAATGTGGACACCTGCTCATTGAACATCTCATTCCAAAATCATGGGCATTAATATGGAGTTGGTCCCCCCTTTGCTGCTATAACAGCCTCCACTCTTCTGGAAAGGCTTTCCACTAGATGTTGGAACATTGCTGCAGGGGACTTGCCTCCATTCTGCGTTCCAATTCATCCCAAAGGTGTTCGATGGCATTGAGGTCAGGGCTCTGTGCAGGCCAGTCAAGTTCTTCCACACAGATCTCGACAAACCATTTCTGTATGGACGTCACTTTGTGCACGGGGGCATTGTCATGCTGAAACAGGAAAGGGCCTTCCCCAAACTGTAGCCACAAAGTTGGAAGCACAAAATCGTCTAGAATGTTATTGTATGCTGTAGCATTAAGATTTCCCTTCACTGGAACTAAGGGGCCGACCCCGAACCATGAAAAAACAGCCCCACACCATTATTCCTCCTCCACCAAACATTACAGTTGGCACTATGTATTCGGGCAGGTAGTGTTCGTCTGGCATCCGCCAAACCCAGATTCGTCCGTCGGACTGCCAGATGGTGAAGGGTGCTTCATCACTCCCAGAGAACGCGTTTCCACTGCTCCAGAGTCCAATGGCAGCGATCTTAACACCACTTCGGCCAACGCTTGGCATGGCACGTGGTGATTTTAGGCTTGTGTGCGGCTGCTCGGCCATGGAAACCCATTTCATGAAGCTCCAGACAAAGTTATTGTGCTGACATTGCTTCCAGAGGCAGTTTGGAACTCTGTAGTGAGTGTTGCAACCGAGGACAGCCTATTTTTACGCTCTTCAGCATTCGGCGTCCCGTTCTGTGAGCTTGTGTGGGCCTACCACTTCGCGGCTGAGCCGTTGTTGCTCCTAGACGTTTGTACTTCACAATAACAGCACTTAGCGGGGCAGAAATTTGACAAACTGACTTGTTGGAAAGGTGACATCCTATGAAGGTGCCACGTTGGAAGTGACTGAGCTCTTCAGTATGGGCCATTCTACCGCCAATGTTTGTCTATGGAGATTTAATGGCTGTGTGCTCGATTTCATACACCTGTCAGCAACGGGCTCAAATAGCCGAATCCATGTGTGTGTTATAGATAGACAGAACTATGGAATAACACATATGGAATCATGTAGTAACCAAAAAAGTGTTAAACTTCAAATAGCCATCCTTTGCCTTGATGACCGCTTTGTACACTCTTGGCATTCTCTCAACCGACTTCACCTGGAATGCTTTTCCAACAGTCTTGATGGAGTTCCCACATGCTGAGCACTTGTTGGCTGCTTTTCCTTCACTCTGCCGTCCGACTCATCCCAAACCATCTCAATTGGGTTGAGGTCGGGGGATTGTGGAGGCCAGGTCATCTGATGCAGCACTCCATCAGTCTCCTTCTTGGTAAAATAGCCCTTACACAGCCTGGAGGTGTGTTGGGTCATTGTTCTGTTGAAAAACAAAACCAGCACAAACCATATGGGATGGTGTATCACTGCAGAATGCTGTGGTAGCCATGCTGGTAAAGTGTGCCTTGAATTCTAAATAAATCACACAGTGTCACCAGCAAAGCACCCCCACACCATAACACCTCCTCCTCCATGCTTTACGGTGGGAACTACACATGCGGAGATCATCCGTTCACCCACACCGCGTCTCACAAAGACACGGCGGTTGGAACCTAAAATCTCAAATTTGGACTCCAGACCAAAGGACACATTTCCAACGGCCTAATGTCCATTGTTTGTGTTTCTTGGCCCAAGCAGGTCTCTTCTTCTTATTGGTGTGGTTTCTTAGCAGCAATTCGACCATGAAGGCCTGATTCACACAGTCCCCTGTGTCTGTGATTTAAACTCTGTGAAGCATTTATTTAGGCTGCAATATCTGAGGCTGGTAACTCTAATGAACTTATCCTCTGCAGCAGAGGTAACTCTGGGTCTTCCATTCCTGTGGCGGTCCTCATGAGAGCCAGTTTCATCATAGCGCTTGATGGTTTTTGCGACTGCACTTGAAGAAACTTTCAAAGTTCTTGAAATGTTCCGTATTGACTGACCTTCATTTCTTAAAGTAGTGATGGACTGTTGTTTCTCTTTGCTTATTTGAGCTGTTCTTGCCATAATTCCAGGTGACTACCTCATGAAGCTGGATGAGAGAATGCCAAGAGTGTGCAAAGCTGGCATCAAGGCAAAGGGTGGCTATTTGTAATACTTTTTTGGTTACTACGTGATTCCATATGTGTTATTTCATAGTTTTGATGTCTTCACTATTATTCTATAATGTAAAAATAAAGAAAAACCCCTTGAATGAGTAGGTGTGTCCAAACTTTTGACTGGTGGTGTTTTTTAGGTGAAACTAATTTTGGGGATGGAAAAATGTTTACAGTGTAAACTTTAAACGACTTAAACCATGTATACATTATACATATTTTTGTGAATTCTTTATAAATGTTTTGGGGATATAGGCGGCCCTGAAAAAAACACTTAGGCAGCCCGCCCAATACTTTTCTATGCAGAAGAAACTCTGCAAGAGGAGTGGACAGTGTCTATGTACTGATTTGATGTCTGTCTCTGAAATCCCAGACCTAGGGCAACAGCACTGGAACATTGTTAATGTGGGAGGCAACCTGTCTGCCTAGGGAGACAAATCTCTATCTCTGAGTTGGATATGACCAGTGGTTCAGGTCCAGCAGAGGGAGATGGGCTCTGCTGCTACAGGTGCCATGGCAACAGTGCCAAGTAGTGCCACGATGACTAGTGCCACATAATCAGCTCATTGGCCTAGTCGAGGATCACTAAAACATTCAACGTCAAACGGATGCTTTAGGTTTTCAAATTATGACATGGGCTGCATTTTTTATTCATGCCCTGAATTAAGCAGAATTATAATAGAAATGAACCCAACCCTGCTCAAACAATGACGCAGCATTAAAGTCTCCCAAGTGACACTTTGGGGTGTAGCCTACTTTTTGAAAAAGACAGCTCCGCATAGCCACCGATAAGGACAATCCATCACATCAACGAGACCTGATGTCCCGGACCCCTTTCTCCCTTTAATGTTCTCCACTGGTCTCCTGCTGCAGGTATTAATAGTTTCTGGATGGGCCTGCGTGATTAAAGCAGGTTGCCTCCCGTCCCTGTAAATATTGAATGATTTTCTCCTTAGTGCTCTAGAATGCGAGAGAGGAGGATGAGGAAGAAAAAGAAGGGAAGATTGAGGTCATAGCTATTACTTGACTGTGTCTAATAAGGGGTAAAATGGGGGTAGGCTACTATATATGACACACAGTGGCTGCCTAATCTGATATTTGACACAGGCCTGTTCTTATGGCACAGAGATGAATTATAGCCAGGTTCACACACATGGTCTCCCTCTAGCATTGTAAAAGGTGTTCCGCAGCCTTAATCTAAATAACAATCCATTCGTCTCCTATCTGCCTGAGCCTCTCTGTCACTACACATTCCAGCACAAATGTGTTCCGGTCAAACCCAATACTTCACATTATTTTGCTCTGAGCACAACAGGAATGCTAAATAAAGGAAGCTCATTCTTTTGAGCATTTACGCGTTGCTGAAATCACCTTACTCATTGTACTTTAGGAATGTCTCACGACGGTGTGTGTGTGTTTTTTGTTTTGTGTATTCTGTGTATTCTGTGTGCTTTTCCTCACTGCTGAAGTTACCTTCCTCGTTGAATATTTCACGAGTGTGGCCTACATGTATCTACACTACATGGAATGTGGACACCCCTTCAATTTAGTGGATTCGGCTATTTCAGCCACACCGGTTGCTGACAGCTCTATAAAATCGAGCACACAGCCATACAATCTCCATAGACAAACATTGGCAGTAGAATGGCCTTACTGAAGAGCTCAGTGACTTTCAATGTGTCACTTTGTCAAATTTCTGCCCTGCTAGAGCTGCCCCAGTCAACTGTAAATGCTGTTATTGTGAAGTGGAAACGTTTAGGAGCAACAACGGCTCATCCGCGAAGTGGACACAGAACGGGACCACCGAGTGCTGAAGCGTATAGCGCGTAAAAATCGTCTGTCCTCAGTTGCAACACTCACTACCGCATTCCAAACTGCCTCTGGAAGCAACGTCAGCACAATAGCTGTTTGTCGGGAGCTTCATGAAATGGGTTTCCATGGCCGAGCAGCCGCACACAAGCCTAAGATCACCATGCGCAATGCCAAGCGTCGGCTGGAGTGGTGGAAACCCATTTCATGAAGCTCCCGACAAACAGCTATTGTGCTGACGTTGCTTCCAGAGGCAGTTTGGAATGCGGTAGTGAGTGTTGCAACTGAGGACAGACGATTTTTACGCGCTATACGCTTCAGCAGTGGAAACGCGTTCTCTGGAGCAGTGGAGCAGTGGAAAGCAGTGGAAACGCGTTCTCTGGAGTGATGAATCAAGCTTCACCATCTGGCAGTCCGACAGATTAATCTGGGTTTGACGGATGCCAGGAGAATGCTACCAGCCCCAAAGAAGTTTGGAGGAGGAGGAATAATGGTCTGGGGCTGTTTTTCATGGTTCGGGCTAGGCCCCTTAGTTCCAGTGAAGGGAAATCTTGACGCTACAGCATACAATGACATTCTAGACAATTATGTGCTTCCAACTTTGTGGCAACAGTTTGGGGAAGGTCCTTTCCTGTTTCAGAATGACAATGCCCCCGTGCACAAAGCGAGGTCCATACAGAAATGGTTTGTTGAGATCGGTGTGGAATAAATTGACTGGCCTGCACAGAGCCCTGACCTCAACCCAATCGAACACCTTTGGGATGAATTGGAATGCAGGCTGTGAGCCAGGCCTAATTGCCCAACATCAGTGCCCGACCTCACTAATGCTTTTGTGGCTGAATGGAAGCAAGTCCCAGCAGCAATGTTCCAAACATCTAGTGGAAAGCCTTCCCAGAAGAGTGCAGGCTGTTATAGCAGCAAAGGGGGGACCAACTCCTTATTAATGCCAATGATTTTGGAATGAGATGTCCACATTCTTTTGACCATGTATGTGTATTATGTTTTTTTTCCCTTTAGTTTATTTTGTGTTTTTTCTCATTGCTTAAGACATCACTTCCTCATTGTACTTCAAGTAGGGCTACTGTCATTGTACTTAGGACACGGGTTAGGGTCAGAGAGTAGGGTGAATGGTGTATACCACAGGTGTCAAACTCATTCCACAGAGGGCCGAGTGTCTGCACTCCTCCCTTGTACTTGATTGATGAATTAAGGTCAGTGATTAGTAAGGAACTCTCCTCACCTGGTTGTCTAGGTCAGTGGTTCCCAAACTGGGGTGTGCTAGGGGTCAGAAAGTTGTAATAGTAGAATGCACAAGGTGCAATTTCTAAATTGGGTAGTGCATCAGTTTTCCTCCTGTCATGTCAGTCATTGCATACCTTTTAGAGAGCTATTATAGCTTGTCAGAAATGTTCAAATCAACTAGCCCATGTCAGCTAAAGTTTTTTAGCTAGGTTTTTTAGCCCATAGATTTTGTTGTAATGTTTGAGTGACTCATATCACATGAATAAACATTATACATGACAAAATGTATAGAATTGCAAGAAAATGAGCTTTAAAACAGCAAAATGTTCTCTGCACACCATTACAAAATCTGTAGAATTGCAGGAAATAAGCTTTAAACCTCCACCAACAAGAGGCGTGTGAACAGTTTGTTATGAACAGTGCTTGTGCCCATAGAAATAGACGTGCGTGTAGGGGGGACGCGGGATGTTCCCCAATGCTGGAAGGGGGTGCCGGAGTGAAAAAGTTTGGGAACCCCTGGTCTAGGTCTTAATTGAAAGAAAAAAAACAGCAGACACTAGGGCATCCATGGAATGAGTTTGACACCGCTGGTGTGTACTGTACACTAAGAATTCTACCACCAGGAGAGCAGCCATCTTATGACCCCTCCTGGAGAGGTGTCGTCTGATTGGTGCTCTACTTTACTCCACCTCAGCATGAGATATTTGTAGCGTTCTAGATGGACTCTGCTTGGCCCTTTTTCACTGTAAAAACAAATAAAATGCTCAAGTGAAAAGAGTTCACACGAAAATGGCCAGTGATTGAAAACCGACACTTAAACAGGGTTTTCCATTGCAAAACGATTTTCTACGGTGTTCCCTAATGAATATGACCCAGGCCACAGACGGGACAACACCCTTCACGACCCTATTTTACAATCTGTAACAAACACTATCACCTTCTTCATACTTGGTGTGTGTGGTCTCTTTTTAACTCTTATCTTTCTGTATCCCTCCAGGGCCGGTGGTGTATGTGCTAGACCTGGCTGACCGGCTCATCTCCAAGGCCTGTCCCTTCGCTGCCGCTGGCATCATGGTGGGCTCCATTTACTGGACCGCTGTCACCTACGGGGCCGTCACTGTCATGCAGGTGAAAGCACAAACACACACAGCTGTGTTTATCGACAGACAATGGCTGCATTTGAATTGGCAGTGCATTACATAAGGTGCCATTTCGGACGCACTCTATCGTTAATCTACCAATCTTGACCATGGTGTCCCTGTGCCCAGGTGGTGGGCCATAAGGAGGGCCTGGATGTGATGGAGCGGGCAGACCCCCTGTTCCTGCTTATCGGCCTGCCCACCATCCCCGTCATGCTGATCCTGGGGAAGATGATCCGCTGGGAGGACTACGTGCTGCGCTTCTGGAGGAAGTACTCCAACAAGCTGCAGATCCTCAACAGCATCTTCCCAGGTCAGAAAGGACACATTGGTAGGGATGCAAGCCGTTCTGCAACACCAGTGTTATGTGAAAGCTTATTCATTGTGTGTGTCTGTATGATGAAGAGTGGGTGATAAAGATCTTATTAGATACTTGATGGATGATGCTACCTGTGTTAAAGACTGTTGTAATGTTGTGTGAACAATGTGGCTTGACCCAGTGTGTGAGCAGTGTTTGTGGGGATAAAAGAGCGCTTAGACGGGGTCCGTCCGTTGTGGCTTGTGGTGGTGGTATGTAGGTTCAGTAGCAGTGGGGTTTTCCCACTGATCTCATCATCAAGGATAGTGATTGATGTGGGTAGAAACCGAACCCATCACTTGATGAATGTGTTTTTGTGTGTTTTGTTTAGCATATCCAACTGTGTGAAGATGTACTGGCAAAACATCAACACCCACAATGCACCTCACCCATCCTGACCCTGCACCCTCCTCTCTGTCTTTCTCAGGGATTGGGTGTCCAGTGCCTCGTATCCCGGCAGAGGCCAGCCCCCTGGCGGACCACGTGTCAGCCACCAGGATCCTGTGTGGCGCCCTGGTCTTTCCCACCATCGCCACCATCGTTGGCAAACTCATGTTCAGCAGCGTCAACTCCAACCTGCAGAGGACCATCCTGGTGGGTAACAAAAACTAACCTCTGTGTCCTGTTAGTCATACACAGACAGACAGTGGGCCTGGGTTTTGGCCATTGTAGTTATATGGACCACATATTCCTCCTATGTAGTGATTGCAGGGTTTTTGCAATGGCTATACAGTGCATTCTGAAATTATTCAGACCCCTTGACCTTTTTCACATTTTGTTACGTTACAGCCTTATCCTGAAATGGATTAAATAAAAATAAAAAACTCATAAAGCTGCACGCAATAGCCCATAATGACAAAGCGAAAACAGGTTTTTATAATTGTTTACAATTAAAAAATAAATAAATTTTTTTTTTTAAAGGTAGAAAGATCTTATTTTACGTAAGTATTCAGACCCTTTGTATGAAACTCAAAATTGAGCTCCGGTGCATCCTGTTTCCATTTATCATCTTTGATGTTTTTACAACTTGATTGGAGTCCACCTGTGGTAAATTCAATTGATTTGACAAGATTTGGAAAGACACACACCTGTCTATATAAAGTCCCACAGTTGACAGTGCATGTCAGAGCAAAAACCAAGCCATGAGGTCGAAGGAATTGTCCATAGAGCTCCGAGACAGGATAGTGTCAAGGGACAGATCTGGGGAAGGTTACCAAGACATTTCTGCAGCATTGAAGGTCCCCAAGAACACAGTGGCCTCCATCATTCTTAAATGGAAGAAGTTTGGAATCACCAAGACTCTTCCTAGAGCTGGCCGCCTGGCCAAACTGAGCAATTGGGGGAGAAGGGCCTTGGTCAGGGCGGTGACCAAGAACCCAATGGTCACTCTGACAGAGCTCCAGAGTTCCTCTGTGGAGACGGGAGAACCTTCCAGAAGGACAACCATCTCTGCAGCACTCCACCAATCAGGCCTTTATGGTAGAGTGGCCAGATGGAAGTAAAAGGCACATTGACAGCCCGGCTGGAGTTTGCCAAAAGGCACCTAAAGGTCTCAGACCATGAGAAACAAGATTCTCTGGTCGAATGAAACCAAGATTGAACTCTTTGGCCTGAATGCCAAGCGTCGTGTCTGGAGGAAACCTGGCACCATCCCTACGGTGAAGCATGGTGGTGGCAGCATCATGCTGTGGGGATGTTTTTCAGTGGCAGGGACTGGGCGACTAGTCAGTATCGAGGGAAAGATGAACGGAGCGAAGTACAGAGAGATCCTTGATGAAAACCTGCTCCAGAGCGTTCAGGACTTCAGGCTGGGGGCGAAGGTTCACCTTCCAACAGGACAACGACCCTAAGCACACAGCCAAGACAACGCAGGAGTGGCTTTGTGACAAGTCTGTGGATGTCCTTCAGTAGCCCAGCCAGAGCCCGGACTCTAACCCGATCGAACATCTCTGGAGAGACCTGAAAATAGCTGTGCAGCGACGCTCCCCATCCAACCTGACAGAGCTTGAGAGGATCTGCAGAGAACAATGGGAGAAACTCCCCAAATACAGCTGTGCCAAGCTTGTAGCGTCACTCAAGGCTGTAATCGCTGCCAAAGGAGCTCCAACAAAGTACTGAGTAAAGGGTCTGAATACTTATGTAAATGTGATATTTCAGCTTTTTATTTTTAATACATTTGCAAAAATGTCTAAACCTGTTTTTGCTTTGTCATTATGGGGTATCGTGTGTAGATTGATGAGGGAAAAAACCTATTTGTCAGGTGGCAAGGAGAAGTAAACAACATTAATAGACTTGGTAGATTTTGATGTCCCCACATTATAATTGGAAGAGGAAATGTAAACTCTAACATAGCCTATTAACTAGAAAGGTAACTCCAAACACTTTTGCTAAGAGCTGCTGTTTAGCTTGCTAAACAAAGGTTAGCCATGTGTTGGCAAAAATGTATGTCCAAGTCAAGAAAGCTTACCAGCAGCCAGCGGGATTTGCCGCACTGGTAGCCAATTCACCGGTGCTTTTTCAAAGTGTAATGGCCTCCAATGAGTGTAATTTGCTCAATATGAAGATGTGAGAAATGAAGTTGACATCATTAGAAATTATATTTTTCTCTTCTACTGTAGGTATGTAATTCAAAATTAGTTTATTATGTTGCTAGCAATATTCATAATGTTAATTTTAAAAAATCACTATTTATATACACTGAACAAAAATATAAAGGCAACATGTAAAGTGTTGGTCCCATGTTTCATGAGCTGAAATAAAAAATCCCCGAAATGTTCCATACGCACAAAAACTTTTCTCTCAAAATGTGTGCACATTTTTTTTTTTCCATCCCTGTTAGTGAACATTTCTCCTTTGCCAAAATAATCCATCCACCTGACAGGTGTGGCATATCAAGAAGCTGATTAAACAGCATGATCATTACACAGGTGCACCTTGTGCTGGGGACAATAAAAGGCCACTTTAAAATGTGCTGTTTTTTCACACAGCACAATGCCACAGATGTCTCTAGTTTTGAGGGAGTGTGCAATTGGCATACTGAGTGCAGGAATGTCCACCAGAGCTGTTGCCAGATAATTTAATGTTAATTTCTCTAACATAAGCTTGGCAGTAACCACGCCAACGATCTGCCAACTTATATCTGTAGCGTCCGAACAGTTTGGGCTACACACTAATACGACCCCTTTGTGGAAAGGTGAGACTCTCACGAACACATGTAGTTTGTTTTGCTCTATGATGCCCACAGGCCTCACAAGACTCCACCACCCCCCCCAACCTGAGCTTTTGTTCTTTATGCCCTGTCTGCAGGGTGGGATCGCGTTTGTGGCCGTCAAGGGAGCGTTTAAGGTGTACTTCAAACAGCAGCAGTACCAGAGGCAAGCCCACCGCAAGATCCTCAACTTCCCAGAGGCAGAGGAGGCCTGAGAAGGGCCCTGGACAGGCACACTGACACACAGGGGGAGTGGATGGAGAAGAACAGTGAACTCTGAGCAGGAACACTGTCGGACAGACAGATTGACGGACACAGGGATCATTGGCGCCCCCTACCTCTTATACCCCTCCGAGCAGCCTCGCCTCACATTATGTTTCTGCTCTCTGTGGAGTCGTTGTCCTATGCTGCTGACATTCATGCTGTATGACTATCGCCATAATCTATTGCGTTTTTAAAACTTTAACACACGTACACTAATACAGACATGCGTGCAGGCAGAGACACATGCTCATGCATATTGCACACAGGAATGTGACTTGTGTTTTTGTGACTGCCGTGTTGCAGTAGCGAGTTTGGAGTATTATATTATTTATTTTTTTACATAACCAGTGCTTGTTGTATTTTCAGAAGATAAATCTGGGACACGTGTAATTATTAGGCAGGAAAGTTTTATAAATCATTTTTGAAATTTTGTTTGCAAATGTGAGGGGTTTAATGAGGAATATTGTTTTCCTGTATTGAATGTGTTTTAAGAGATAATTATTATTATTTGAAGGAAGGAAGATCATCTTACCTGCTCCCTTCAGACATTGTTGCCACTCATGTTTCCATTGGTAAATATCCCCAGGCTTGTGACTGAAAATACATGGTCATCATCATTAATCTCCTATTTAGAAGCACAGTACAAACCTCGTAACAAAGTGTGATTGTCTGTACATACAGTAGTTGCAGAATAAGTGAAGTATTGGATGACATTTTTTAGGGTGTTTTTACTCCTATGCCTTGAAGTGTTCGCATTCATTGTTTGTAGATGATTTTGTTTAATTGTTGGTACTTAACCCTAATTGCTCCTGTAAGTCGCTCTGGATAAGAGCGTCTGCTAAATGACTAAAATGTAATCTATAAGCATCTATAATCCTACAGCTCACTTCTACCTTTCATATGAAATACTCAATAAGAATCAGTGCACAGATGTCTTCTACTCATGGGATGAGCACGAATGTGATGTGCAAGCCCGCAGTTGGGAGGTGGGTAAATGGATCATATAGATCTGACACATGCAGCATTGCCTTTTAAATTAGCAAAAATTGATGGCATGCTGTCTACTGAACGAAGGCGTGACTGACTCGTGTAACATCTCATATTTTAACCCAAATCACATACGCCACAGATACATCCTTGCTAACACCTGCTTTGTTTATTTTAGTGCATTTGGCTCAAGGCAGTCATAGAATGGGATGTAATTACAACTATATTTCTAGAAGTGCTCTAGAACTATATAGAACCAGTACACAGGTGGTCCAGTGGTCTAAGCCGCTGCAATATGGGTTTGAATCTGGTCCACTGCTATTTGTAGCAACTCTCCATCTATCCTGTCCAATAAACAAAAAATGTGAGTGGAACTGCCCCACTCATTAAAAAAACAAACGGTATACAATATACGACTTGAAAAAAGGCATGCCATAAACCAACCACTAGAATATTTAATGTTAATCTCTCTCTTAGCTGTGTCTGGTAGACAGATGGAATCTCTGTGGTCAACTCAGCTTTTAAATTCAAGGTAAAAAAAAAAAAACATGCCAAGAGTGAGGAAGTTGTATATTACATGGATTGTACAGACATTGCTTCTACATTTATAATTTCATGATCGATTATAAATGTATTTTTTCTAACCTTGAAGTGGATGTGTTGAGTTCATTCTAAGGTCCAGATGCACACTGTAGGACAAATTCCATAGACATGAACAAGGGGCTATCACATTTCATAGTATATTGCTGAAAGATAACACCTTCGGTGTGTTCTTCTGAGATACAAATCCTGTGTTGACTGATATTGGAGTCTATCTTTTAATAACAGACAACTATTGTTCCAGTATACAGTCATTTATTAGTTATAAACACACAGGAGGAAATAAAAAATAAAATAAACTCAAGACTTAAGCACTCCTGCATTACTGAGCCATGAACATGTCTGCAGCAACTCAACCAGCCAATTTACAGCAGTGTCCACTGACAGTCTCGCTGAACCTCCTTCCATTTGAAGAGTTTCATATGATCTGGCTGGTATTCAGTAGGGCACACCGTAGCAAAACAATTTTGCAACTGAAAATCAAAACAAGCATTTCTTATTTCAGTAGTCCCTCCGTCTGTCAGTTTTCTTCTGTTTGGTGCCTAATGAATACAACCCAGTTTCGCAAAATGAACCCACACAGTTATTCCCATGTTCGAGTCTATACTGATTACTTATGGAAACTATTGAGGAAAAACTGGTTGGTTTCCCCCTAAATACATTAGCAAGCAGTGACAACTACTGGTTGCCAGAGACTGTTAGTCCTACAAAAGGAACACTGACTGCAGATCAGTTATTGGTCCCTACCATTGTAGGGTGGCCACTGCTAAGCACTGAACCCAAACCAGTGGAATTCAAGGGAATGTTCAGTCTATGTCAGTGTACAGCTGTACTTCGTGTAGAAAGAGCACCTTTGGGTTCAGTTTGAGCATAAATCCATAAGAAATGCCAGTTTCTACCTAGTGGTTAAACACATTACGTTAACGTTGCAGTTGATATATATAGGCCTGAGAACATATGGGAGACCACATAAAGCTGACATTTGCTGTATCAAAGAGTGGTTGGTGCCAGCGGTAGTTTGACTTGGCAATGCTTGTTAACACCTGAGAGACTAGGCCTTGGTGTAGACACAGACATGGCACTGGCATGAGTACTATCCATGCATCACATACCACTCAGAAACAGGTCAGTTCCACCTTTCAATATGTGTCCGTTTTTAGGCTGGATGAGAGCAAGGACTCAAGAATGCAGTGTCCCCCGCTTCTATATAACAGTACAGAGGCCATGTGTGTTTCAAGCCACACTGCTCTTAGGTTCCCCAGTTTATTGCTTAGTAAGAAGTGCATATTTAGAAACACAGGCACCCTCCATCCATAAGCCTCTTTTGAAACCCTTCAGACAAAACATGATTCTTTTAAAAGGGTGTCCTGAGAAAAGACCAGATTGAAAATCTGTTTACCCCACCAGACATTCTATAACAGTCCTTTATGTTTTTCTGAAGGATAGCATCTTTAAGACTGCAATGACCCTGTTCCAAGTCTGACCCACAGAGTAAAACTCCAGACACTGCTGTGGTGTGTATCCAGCTGACTGCTCCATCCATAGAGTTTTATCTCTATTGCTCCAGATTTGTAATATACCATCTTCACTGCCAGAGAATGACCAATAATCACCCCCCCTCCCCCACCTTTAGGGTACAAGCTAAGTCTCAAACGGAGAAAGATTGGGGGGCGGGGGGGCCCTATGCAAGAATCACTAGTCGAACACAACCAGATTAAAATATGAATGATACATGAACAAGAATAAAAGCTATAAAATTACAAATGTATACCTCCAACAAGTAATTAACAAATTACAGACGTTTATTTTTCTTCAATCTCAAATAAAAGCAAAAAGCAAAAGATTAGCGGGACCCTGAGATGATGCTTGGATAATACAACCCTATAGAACACATTAGTTCAAAATAAAAGCTTCATGAACACACCTCTCCACCAAATTAGCAGTTTTAAAACAGCTCCTCCAAAGGGCCTTGACATTTTACTAGTTTAAAAAATAAATAGATCCAGATCTCAAAACCTGTACATCATGGATTAAAATAGAATAATTTCCATAAGGCTGATATAATAGGTGTGTCAAACTGAAATTGTGTCTAAAATAGTGTTGCACATTAATCTTATTTAAACACAGTGTCTTTGTGATAACAATTCAGGGAGTTGTCACTGTGCCTTGATGCGTCGCACGAGTACATAAGAAAGAAAGAAGTATGTGTCCAGCGTGTCTAAAATGATATTAAGTGCACCCTTTGTAGAGCGAACCTCAACAGCTTCACATAATCATCATTAACCAACGGTTTACTCTCACCACAGTAGCATGTCCTGTAGCTAAATCGACTAAAAACACATTATGAAGTGTCAAGGGGTACTTGTACTGGTTTACAGGGTTCTGGCCTTGTGGTTCTTTAAGTTAGTAATATTCCTCTATAATTATAATATGAGCCCTGCTTCAACAGTCTATACATTGTCGGGAATGTGTGTTGGTGGAGTTTTCCATGAGACTAAAATTAGGTGAGTTTTTGTGTGTGACCTCTACTCTTACAAGGAGCTATGATGAGATCCACAGCCAAGTTGTGGGAATCGCACACATTTCCAAGCACCTCTAGTGGCCTCCAGCCTATCACACACACAGATACATAAACACAGAGAAACACACATGCAGGCTTAGTCAGATGAGTGTGTTGCTGACTCCAGTTGCCTCAGGGGGAATAGATGGACAGAGCAGGGTCCACCCCACAGTGCTCCCATGCTACTCTGGGGGCAGGGCTGCCCGGTCCTCTCACAGTTTGGCAGCCATGAAGTTGATGTGGGGCTTGGCCAGGGGAAAGAGCGGAAGGCTCCTCTTGAACTCGTTCATGTCCTGCACCAATGTAGGCTGTACACAGAGGGAGCGAGATGGACAGGTCAGTATATTACAGACATAACACACACATCACATTGCCCCAAAAGTTACATAATTCTGCCAATTCTCTATCACAGACACACACCCCTCCTGTATTATAAAAGGATAACTACATTACCTGTGGCAAGGAGGGGGCAGGGACCAGGTTGACGTCATTCTGGGCAGGGAACTCTCCCACGACTGGGCCTAAACAAAGGACAGAGACATTTCAAACTGTTAAACAGTCAAAGCAACCCCCACCCCAAAAACTCTCCATCACTAGCACAGTACTCACAGGAGTCCATCTCCCTAGACAGGACGTGCACAGACACCTTGTGCCTCTTGGGTGCGTCCACAGCCAACAGATCCTACAGAGAGAGACAGGAGTTAGATAGAGACACCGAGAAAAGAGACAGACAATTTAATTGAAGCCTCTATTAAGGTCACTGTCTGCGGAAAATGAATTATATTGGGGTGAAGAAATGTTCCAGTCTTCTGCATCAGAACAAAGTGAATTCCACAGTCATAAATCTGTGGAGCGGGGAAAATATGGTGAAATGTATTACACAATGAAAATATTCTGTATGGGGCCTGTGCTGCTTCTGCTGAGATATAAATATAGGAAGTCTTTCATTGCTTCAGTATCCTTGGCCCCCTTATCCCCTTGAAACACACCACCCTGACGGTGACGCAACCCCTCGTTATGGTTGTAGATCAGTGGCGTTCGGTGCAGTTTAATATGAAGGAGGACGATTTTTTAATTTATTTTAATGAGCATAGCCTTATTTCTATTACAGCATATCTGACTGTCATTCATATTTCATTTATCCAGTTCAATGTAACAGTGATCGGTTTAGGCTACTACATGATACTCAAATTTTCCCTGTACCCATCATGAGGTTGCTACAACCTAGCTTATGAATGAAAGTTTACAACGTAGGTGCACACAGGTCGAGAGAAAAAATTGAGTTGACAGACAGTGACACATGGACAGACAGTGACACATTCAATACAGCCTTGCACACTCTTGCCTGCATCTAGCTGATATAGGGTGTAATCATTAGTCCAACAGTTGTAAATGAGAATTTATACTGGACAAATTCAGGTATGTTTATCCCAGTTTCGTTCCGTTTGCTTCTGTTTAAGAAACGTTTTTCAACAGAATCGGCGGAATGAATACACCCCTGCTCACGCGTAAACACAGTTTACTTTCATAGCAGCCACGTTGCATTCCTTCTCATATCTATGCGCGCTCCTCCTCTCACCTTTTCCTTCGCTTGTGGACTTCAATGCACAACACGTGACCAGGCGAAAAAAACCTTCCAAGCCAAACCATATCATAACCGCTACACACCGCTTACATCGTTGTCACCATATTAGCTAAAGTAATGTCATAGTCAACATAGCTAATAGAACTGATGCATTAGTAAACCCACTATAATCATGCAGTAACGTTAGTGTACAGTCAGTAAGAAGTTTAGCACTAAATAAGTAAAACCAAAAGCTTACCTTGACTTGGAAGAGTTCCAGTGGTGTTGGATAGTCATAGCCAGCTAGCTAACATAGCATCCCTCTGTTTGAGCAGGGTGTTTAAGTAGGCTAAACTAGCTAGCTGCATTTGCTAGCTAAGTGAAACTGAAAAGAAAAGAAACTCTTGCTTCTCCTTCATTTGAGGAAATTAATTAGTTCAAAACAGTTCTACTATTGTCTTTCTCTCGCTTTGAGTCAACCACATTTTATGCACTGCAGTGCTAACTAGCTGTAGCTTATGCTTTCAGTACTAGATTCATTCTCTGGTCCTTTGATTGGGTGGACAACATGTCAGTTCATGCTGCAAGAGCTCTGATAGGTTGGAGGACATCCTCCAGAAGTTGTCATAATTACAGTGTAAGTCTATGGAAGGGGGTGAGAACTTGAAGGGGGTTTTGTATTGAAGTCAATGTACCCAGAGGAGGACGGAAGCTAGCTGTCCTCCGGCTACACCATGGTGCTACCCTACAGAGTGCTGTTGAGGCTACTGTAGACCTTCATTGCAAAACAGTGTGTTTTAATCAATTATTTGGTGACGTGAATATATTTAGTATAGTTTAATCTAAAAAAAATATACTTTTTAAATGTTTTAAAAATTATGTTTGTATGAAATTCACTGAGGAGGATGGTCCTCCCCTTCCTTCTCTGAGGAGCCTCCACTGTTGTGGATATTCTGTGAGCACAGCATATCGTGTCAGTGTCACCTCCACAGCTATGAATAGAACCAGGACGTGGAGGATAAGAGTGGTGGGGGAATAAATGAAACAAGGTGCCATCTTTCAGGGAGGACAGATTGAACAACACACCTGCATACAGAAGATGGATGATGAGAGCTACTCACCCGGTAGAACTGTACAATGTTTTCTTTCGTGAACGTCTTCAGATAGGCCACTTCAATGTTATCTAGAAAACAACAGGAAACACTCAGGATTAACGGTCGATGATTTGAGATATCACTACAGCTTTGACCAAAACAAATATGTATGCATGAATGTAGAACAGAACTGGTGGCAAAGTCCTTACATACTCATCACAAGTAGGATACCAGTGATGGGGGGAATCGAAAGTTACATATCGGAATATTATTTTTGATGATATATCGTATCGTTTTGACAACGTTGCAATATTTTTGCACTAGTTGGCTGTACCTGCACCAAAACTCCAGTATTTTTCCTTCATAGCTTGTTCTCCATCTTTTTATCTTGGCCAGGTCGCAGTTGTAAATGAGAACTTGTTCTCAACTGGCTTACCTGGTTAAATAAAGGTGAAAAAATAAAAAAATAAGTGGGGAGACAATTTGTTCTCAGGACTTTTATTTTCATGACTGATCAAAACTGCACTGCTCAAAAAAATAAAGGGAACACTAAAATAACACATCCTAGATCTGAATGAATGAAATAATCTTATTAAATACTTTTTTCTTTACATAGGTGAATGTGCTGACAACAAAATCACACAAAAATTATCAATGGAAATCAAATGTATCAACCCATGGAGGTCTGGATTTGGAGTCACACTCAAAATTTAAGTGGAAAACCACACTACAGGCTGATCCAACTTTGATGTAATGTCCTTAAAACAAGTCAAAATTAGGCTCAGTAGTGTGTGTGGCCTCCACGTGCCTGTATGACCTCCCTACAACGCCTGGGCATGCTCCTGATGAGGTGGCGGATGGTCTCCTGAGGGATCTCCTCCCAGACCTGGACTAAAGCATCCGCCAACTCCTGGACAGTCTGTGGTGCAACGTGGCGTTGGTGGATGGAGCGAGACATGATGTCCCAGATGTGCTCAATTGGATTCAGGTCTGGAGAACGGGCGGGCCAGTCCATAACATCAATGCCTTCCTCTTGCAGGAACTGCTGACACACTCCAGCCACATGAGGTCTAGCATTGTCTTGCATTAGCAGGAACCCACGGCCAACCGCACCAGCATATGGTCTCACAAGGGGTCTGAGGATCTCATCTCGGTACCTAATGGCAGTCAGGCTACCTCTGGCGAGCACATGGAGGGCTGTGCGGCCCCACAAAGAAATGCCACCCCACACCATGACTGACCCACCGCCAAACCGGTCATGCTGGAGGATGTTCTCCACGGCGTCTCCAGACTCTGTCACGTCTGTCACATGTGCTCAGTGTGAACCTGCTTTCATCTGTGAAGAGCACAGGGCGCCAGTGGCGAATTTGCCAATCTTGGTGTTCTCTGGCAAATGCCAAACGTCCTGCACGGTGTTGGGCTGTAAGCACAACCCCCACCTGTGGACGTCGGGCCCTCATACCACCCTCATGGAGTCTGTTTCTGACCGTTTGAGCAGACACATGCACATTTGTGGCCTGCTGGAGGTCATTTTGCAGGGCTCTGGCAGTGCTCCTCCTGCTCCTCCTTGCACAAAGGCGGAGGTAGCAGTCCTGCTGCTGGGTTGTTGCCCTCCTACGGCCTCCTCCACGTCTCCTGATCTACTGGCCTGTCTCCTGGTAGCGCCTCCATGCTCTGGACACTACGCTGACAGACACAGCAAACCTTCTTAATAATAATAATAATAATAATAATAATATGCCATTTAGCAGACGCTTTTATCCAAAGCGACTTACAGTCATGCGTGCATACATTTTTTTGTGTATGGGTGGTCCCGGGGATCGAACCCACTACCTTGGCGTTTCAAGCGCCGTGCTCTACCAGCTGAGCTACAGAGGACCACATTCTTGCCACAGCTCGCATTGATGTGCCATTCTGGATGAGCTGCACTACTTGAGCCACTTGTGTGGGTTGTAGACTCCGTCTCATGCTACCACTAGAGTGAAAGCACCGCCAGCATTCAAAAGTGACCAAAACATCAGCCAGGAAGCATAGGAACTGAGAAGTGGTCTGTGGTCACCACCTGCAGAACCACTTCTTTATTGGGGGTGTCTTGCTAATTGCCTATAATTTCCACCTGTTGTCTATTCCATTTGCACAACAGCATGTGAAATTTATTGTCAATCAGTGTTGCTTCCTAAGTGGACAGTTTGATTTCACAGAAGTGTGATTGACTTGGAGTTACATTGTGTTGTTTAAGTGTTCCCTTTATTTTTTTGAGCAGTGTAGTTTTCTCATGGCTCCCTCTTGTCACTGCAGCAGACATATAGTGAGCAATACTGTTTGGAACATTGAAAGTGCAATGAAATCACAGTATCGATTTGCAATACATATCGGCGCCTAAGTATTGTGAGAATATTGTATCATGAGGTCCCTGGCAATTTCACTTTCGCAGTCAAAAAGCCAGCAGAGATCTACCGCTCAGATTCTTTTCATTTCTTTACCTAATTAAAACAGTTCTGTAGGAATGGGGTTTGTGCAGTAGGCCTAATACATTATCACAGCATATTGGCTATATGTCTGCCGATATTGTTCTTCTCAGACCATATTATACTGAAAACTCTATGCGAAGGAGCTGTTTCATGCTGCATGATGCAAATTGTGGTCACACCAGATACTGACTGGTTTTCTGATCCACGCCCCTAAAAAAAAAACAGTATTCCCAGTCATGTGGAAACCATGAATTTCAGTTGCCTGATTTCCTTATATGAACTGTAATTCAGTCAAATCTTTGAAATTGCTGCATGTTGCATTTATATTTTTGTTCAGTGTATATTTCAAAACTTGAGCTTTGATAACTAAATAAATCAGTTGGTGTAGCACTTGTGAGGCGAGGTTGAGCATAAATTGAAATAATTCGATTTTTTATTTTACTGGACTGATGGTATCTGCATCTGATGGTCATGGTGCTTTCAAGACAACTGGGAACTATGGGAAAAACAAGGTAAAATCATGACGTCAGTGATCTTCAGGTCGGAGCTCTAGAAAGATGACCGAGCTTCAGACTTGGAATTCTGAGTTGGATGACCGTTCAAACAATTTTTCCCCCAGTCGGATTTCATTTTTTTCAGAGTTCCCAGTTGTCTTGAACGCACTGAAGTCAGAAGTCGGAGATGTCCAAGTTCCCAGTTGTTTTCAACACGGCATTAGTCTCAGCGGAGGCATTAGTCTCTCCTTCCTTTCCTCCGGTGAGACTGACCACAGAGGGGGGGACACCATCTTCTCAAGTCGCAAAGCATCTGCCTCATGCACAAATTCATGTTGTTCCTATGACCAGACAAAGTGAAATATTCCAAGATATTAAAATAGACATGATGAGCTGCTAGTAATAATAAAAAACGCAGGGCTATTGATACACTTAGCTACTAATTCATTGCAGCTGCAGTGCGAGTGGTAGTACGGAGAAGCACGTTTTATGTTTTGTAATAAAGTGTTGAATAAAAACAGTGTTGACAGTGCTGAATACAAACTAAATCATGAACTCACTCAAAAACAGCAGCTCTTTGCTATATTCTTTGACAGTCTCGCGCTCTGGTCATGGTTTTTAAAATCTATGAAATCTCATGGAGGCTAGTATCAAACTTTGCTGGAAGCTATAGGCACGGTGATTTGAGCTATCCGATTGGCCAGCGCAGTAGACACACTCGATTTAGCCACAGATCATCCAGTTCGCCGGGTAGGCGGAGTTTGTCTTTAGAGACAAATTAAAAGGTTAAAAATGGGAAAACCTTACCTACCCGGTGCGCAGGGCTTCTAAATCAAGTGCACTTACCGCCAACTGCGCTTTATCATTGGACTTTCTACAGAAATGTTTGGTGATCGACTAGAAATGTCTTGAAGATCGACCAGCCGATCGTGATCGACCGGTTGGTGACCAATGCCCTACAGGATCACCAGCCACCCCGACCGTACAATGTTCCACTATTGACCAAGGCTCCACTTCCTATCATGACATTAGTGTTGACGGTTGCTGCCCTCAGTCTTCTCCCATCCTCTTTCCCTCTAACAATGAGAACATTGATGGTTATCATCACCTCTCCCTAATTAGCGTTCTGGATCACACAGGGGTTTATGGCAGATTACCAGCCCATTACAATCCATAATAGCACTCAGGAGAAAGCTGCAAGGGCGAGGTGTGCTCCGGGAGTTTATTCTGGGGCCTAATCATTGCTAATTTCTGCGGCAGGTAGCTCCGAGACAGCAACAACCTTCCTTTCCCTCAGGGATCCTCCAGAATGTCAATATAAATAAATGTACAGTGGATATAAAAAGTCTACACACCCCTGTTAAAATGCCAGGTTTTTGTGATGTAAAGAATGAGACCTATAATGTGAACAATTCAATTGAAAAACAAACTGAAATCTTTGAGGGGGAAAAATAAAAAACTCACAATAACCTGGTTGCATAAGTGTGCACACCCTTAAACTAATACTTTGTTGAAGCATCTTTTGATTTTATTACAGCACTCAGTCTTTTGGGGTATGAGTCTATTAGCATGGCACATCTTGACGTGGCAATATTTGCCCACCTATCTTTGCAAAAGCGCTCCAAATCTGTCAGATTGCGAGGACGTCTCCTGTGCACAGCCCTCTTCAGATCACCCCAGAGATGCTCAATTGGATTCAGGTCTGGGCTCTGGCTGGGCCATTCCAAAACGTTAATCTTCTTCTGGTGAAGCCAGGCTTTTGTGGATTTGGATGTGTGCTTTGGGTCGTTGTCGTGCTGAAAGGTGAACTTCCTCTTCGTCTTCAGCTTTCTAACTGAAGCCTGAAGGTTTTGTGCCAAAATTGCCTGGTATTTGGAACTGTTCATAATTCCCTCCACCCTGACTAAGGCCCTGGTTCCAACTGAAGAAAAACAGCCCCAAAACATGATGCTGCCACCACCACCATGCTTCACTGTGGGTATGGTGTTCTTTGGGTGATGTGCAGTGTTGTTTTTGCACCAAACATACATTTTGGAATTATTGGCCAAAAAGTTCAACCTTGGTTTCATCAGACCATAACACATTTTCCCACGTGCTTTTGGGGGACTTGATGTTTGTTTTTGCAAACTTCAGCCGAGCTTGGATGTTTTTCTTTGTAAGAAAAGGCTTCAGTCTTGCCACCCTACCCCATAGCCCATTCATATGAAGAATACAGGAGATTGTTGTCACATGTAGCACACAGCCAGTATTTGCCAGAAATTCCTGCAGTTCCTTTAATGTTGCTGTAGGCCTCTTGGAAGCCTCCCTGACCAGTTTTCTTCTCGTCTTTTCATACATTTTGGAGGGACGTCCAGTTCTTGGTAATGTGTCTGTTGTGCCATATTTTCTCCACTTGATGATGACTGTCTTCACTGTGTTCCATGGTATATGTAATGCTTTGGAAATTATTTTTTACCCTTCTCCTGACTCATATTTTTCAACAATGAGATCCCTCTGATGCTTTGGAAGCTCTCTGCGGACCATGGCTTTTGCTCTGAGATGGAACTAAGAAAATGTCAGGGAAATCCTACTAGAAAAGCTGAACTTTATTTGTGATTAATCAGTCACTTTAAATGATGGCAGGTGTGTAATGACTTCTATTTAACATGAGTTTGAATGTGATTGGTTAATTCTGAACACAGCCACATCCCCAGTTATAAGAGGGTGTGCACGCTTATGCAACCAGGTTATTGTAAGGTTTTTATTTTTCATTTTTCCCCCCTCGAAGATTTCAGTTTGTTTTTCTATTGAATTGTTCACATTATAGGTCACATTAACAGTGGAAAAAGTTCTGACATGATTTATCTTTGTCCCTTCTTTTACATCACAAAAACCTGGCATTTTAACAGGGTTGTGTAGACTTTCTATATCCACTGTATATCTCACTCAAAACACCTATTCATATAACAAGGCCTCCTAGCAGTTATAATATGAGGAGGATCAGGAGGAATATCCATTTAGTCAACACTAACTCAGCAAACTACCCACAGATTTCACTTGGAAAAAGCTCTTAAGCCTCTAGCCCAGGTAAAGGAATAGGTGTGTATTCACAAGTGCATATTGCACATTGTGTGTCTGCACATGCTCACCTCTGTCGAAGTTGTACTGCTGGGAGATGATCTCCCCCCAGTACATGGCACACTCGGCGGCCAGCTTCTTGGGCTTGTCCAGGCGGCGGATGGCCAGGGCCTGGATGTGTTTCTGGAAGGCCTCGTCGTTCATTTCCTCCACAGACTTCTCCGTGGCTTTTAGGAAGGCCTCCACCCGGCTCTCCAGGTAGTGGGGGGCCTTCTCCGACTGGATGATGAAGCGCAGGCCCTGGACCCCGTTAGCGCGCCGCGGACCGCTAAACACTATGTACCCTGAGGAGAGAGGAGAGTGAAAGTCTTTAACAATGCACTGTAAATTCTGGAACGTGTGTATGTGTTTAACTGCATGCATGTAGTCTACTGTCCCCTTTTCACTGCAGGGTTTTGAGTTCAAGTGTGTTTGAGTACTTTACAAAGGACCTTTTCACAGGAGGTAATTCCCCCCCTCCCTGCCTATCTGGACCGGTCTCCACTGGAGTGTGTGTGAGTGGTCTTACCCAACTGTTCCTTGGTGCGCAGTGTGTTGAAGCAGGGCTCAGAGATGATCTGACAGAAGAGCTCCAGCAGCATGTTGTTGTGGGTTGTCTGCATGTCTGTCTGGTAGTAGATCTCTATGCCACAGTTGTTGTGCACCTCGTTCCTCTGCTGGTACACATACCAGCCACCTGGAAGACACAGACAGCAGGGTCGTAGTCATTAGGGCACATAATGGAAAAGGTTCCAAATGTTTTGCAAGGAAAAAAGAAAACAAGTGTTTCTTATTGGACAAGTCCAGGTAGTACATCCCTGTTTCAGTCCATTTGGTGCCTAATAAATACACTCGGTGGACAGTTTATTAGGTATACCACCCCGTTCACGAAAATGGTTCTCTCCTACAGAGAGTGAGTCACGTGGCCATGGCTTGCTATATAAAGCAGGCAGACCAGCATCGAGGCATTCAGTTACTATTCGATTGAACGTTAGAATGGGAAAAACGTGTGATCTAAGCAACTTTAAGCGTGGTATGATCGGTGCCAGGCGCGCCGGTTCCAGAATCTCAGAAACGGCCAGCCTCCTGGGCTTTTCACGCACGACAGTGTCTAGGTTTTACCAAGAATGGTGTGACAGCCTCCCGAGTGGTGCAGCGGTCTAAGCGGCATCACTACAGACTGGGGTTCGATCCCAGGCTGTGTCGCAACGGCTGTGACTGGGAGTCCCATTGGGCGGCGCACAATTGGCCCAGCGTCATCCGGGTTAGGGGAGGGTTTGGCCGGGGGGGCTCCTTGTGTCGGACCGGATGCCTGCAAGCTGACTTCGGTCGTCAGTTGAACGATGTTTCCTCCGACACATTGGTGCAGCTGGCTTCCGGGTTAAGCGAGTGGGTGTTAAGAAGCGTGGCTTGGCGGTTCATGTTTTGGAGGACGCATGCCTCAACCTTCGCCTCTCCCGAGCCCGTTCGGGAGTTGCAGCGATGAGACAAGATCGAAATTGGGGGTAAAAAATAAAAATAATAATAATAATAATGGTGCGACAAACAAAAAACATTCAGTCAGCGGCAGTCCTGTGGGCAAAGCAGCTTGGCAAGAATCATGCAAGCTAACAGGCGGGCCACAAACAGAAATAACGACGCAGTACAACAGTGGTGTGCAGAACAGCATCTCGGAACGCACAACTAGTCAGTCCTTGTCACGGATGGGCTATTGGAGCAGACGACCACACCGGGGGGTTCCACTCCTATCAGCTAAAAACAAGAAGAAGCGGCTCCAGTGGGCACGCGATCACCAACACTGGACAATTGAGGAGTGGAAAAACAGCGCCTGGGCCGACGAATCCCGGTTCCTGTCGCGTCATGCTGATGGCAGAGTCAGGATTTGGCGTAAGCAGCATGAGTCCATGGCCCCATCCTGCCTGGTGTCAACAGTACAGGCTGGTGACGGTGGTTTAATGGTGTAGGAAATGTTTCCCTGGCACACATTAGGTCCCTTGATACCAATTGAGCAACGTTTCCATGCCCCGAAGAATTCAGGCTGTTCTGGAGGCAAAGGGGGGTCCGACCCAGTACTAGATGGGTGTACCTAATAAACTGAGTGTATATGACCCAGAGTTTATACACATACTGAGGCATCACAATCTTCAAAACACACATTTACTAACCATGCAATACAGAAGGCATGGGCCTCAAACAGCTAACCCAAATGCAAATACTGTATAACGACGCATGCGCAACTCAGCAAACATTGAGGCTTAAAAAAATGCATTTAGGAATAAGCAACAAGCCCTAAACAACCTAGCCAATTGATGCACCACCGGCTTAACTGCGAAAATACAATTACTAAAGAACGTGTTTCGATAGATTTAAAAAGCATAATACAGAAACGTTATATATAGAATTCAGCTAGAGGACAGGAGAGACTAAGCCAACATCACACGTTTTGCTGAGTGGCTGTGAATAGCCGTGTTAAAAGCTTTTCATTGGCACTTTCATTTTTGAAAAGTAGATGCGCAAAAACCCTAGGGACATGTTGAGTTCATTTGGATATTTACTCGCATTTGAGTCCTAACTGATCAAGCAGACTTTGAATGAGGAGAGACGGGTTGGGGAATGCAGCAGGTTGCTTATGCATATCCTTTTCTATGGGGAATGATGTGTCAACAGTTCTCCTCAGAATGGAAAACGTGTGCAGGTGAAGATGAGAGTTAGCAGTTGAAGTATGTGTCTGTAAAAGCTTATGTTATAAGCTTTTTTGTTGGGAAGCTAGAAATCGTGCTCCGACCAACGGCTAGTTCATTTTGTGTTTTCAACCCTCAGTCCCAATCCTGCTTCAGTTCCTGGCTGGCCAGCCAGCTGGATCCAGGATGTTTCCAGGTGGCCCAGACAGCTCTGACTTTCCTCTCCGCTCAAGTTACCTAATGTCATCAAAAAAAGAGTGGCACTGTGGTGCTGTGTGTGTGTTGTTGTGCGGTGTGTGTTTGTGTAAGAGGTTAAGGAAAAGTGTGTGTATTGTATTGCCTAGTGATGTCTGTTTCCCCTTGCTGAGCCTTTCACCCTTGGACATTGGCGGGGCATAGACACTGAGGTTTTACACAAGCACAGGTCCTGACGTAGGCCAGACTGTTGGGTAAGAAACCTTCATCATGGTCACCATGGGGACGGGCATGACTGGCAGGTACCTGAGGAGGAAGGGAATGATGGGCAGTTGACCTACCATCTGGCACCTGCACCTCCCTGTAGCGAATCAACTGGCTTGGTAGGAGGGGCTTGGTGTGGGCTTGATTCATAAGCGTGTCCTCGACCATCTGTATCATGTCTAGAGCAGACTGGAGAAAGAGAGAAAAAAAGAGATAGAGAGAGAAAAGTGAGAGGTGCAAATGATATAAATCAGTGTTGTAAACCACCTTTTTAAATGTGGCAAGATAACTCTTTCCATAGCTAATCTCCCACGTTCTATGGTAAATAGCAGATACCTATCTATAGGTCCTTCCACTGAATCAGAACACTGCTATAATATTCTGTCCACGCAGTACAAGCTCTTTCTAAGGTAATAGGAGTCTCGCAGTGAACTGTGAGTCTCTATGGTGATGAAGTGGACCATTGCCCCCGCTGGTGCATCCAATTCCCTCTCCACTAGACTGTGACACCTCTCCACTGGGCATCATTACCAGATATAAGGGAGACTGTTCGGCGACGGCTGGGATCTTTTAGAAAGTGTGTGATTTGATCGGAGGATCTTATCAGGGTTTGACAGTGTGTTCACCTTCTGTCACTGCTAGAGGACATTTAAAAGGATTCCACTTAAAACCTATATGGAAGAGGAGCGGCTGCCCGTATAAGCAGTTATAGAACATATCCACATTCAATACATTGAATGTCTCGCTGTGTGCATGTGTCTGCCTGCCATTTACAAATGAAGAAAATACAACAGTCTGTCCACTGGAAGGTAAGATCAAACTCACCTCCTTGGTGATGTTGCCATGGAGAAGGGTCTCGATGTGTAACCGTGACAATAGTTGAGATATGAAGGCCTTAAGGCGGGGGAGAGTGACATCTGGAAGACAGATTCAGACGGGAGCAATCAATCACAGAGCCATCATTCTAAATCTATAATCAGGCTAGAACCGAATCAAATGCATCAGTCATGCGGGCTCTTGCTGCCCACCGCATAGCATCCCTGTCATGAACCCAGGCAGAAATGTACGTACACAAACACACTCACCCTAGACACGTTCACAAAAACGTGGAGACATGCAGACACACACACACACACTTCTTCTCTGCGTAGGCTGGTCAATCTGAATTCACACAGTGTCTGACCCAGATTCATTCGGATAGTGGTGAGAAGCAGCCAGGGATGAGTGAGGGGAGGGTAGTAGGGAAGGGCCACACACACAGCAGTAGCTTGTCTGTAAAAACCAGGGACAGGGATCTGAGAATGTCTGGAGACCCAGAGAAGGGAAACAGGGGCACCAACTAAAAACATAGGTACGAGGAAGGGCTGGGAAGATACCAGTATCGCAGTACTTGTTAGCGTTGTGGCAAGGAAACAAAACACGAAGCGGATTTAACTTCCTTAGGAAAACCGCCCTAATATTGGAAACAAACATCAGATCAAATGTTATTGGTCACATACACATGTTTAGCAGATGTAGCGAAATGCTTGTGTTCCTAACTCCAACAGTGCAGTAATATCTAACAATAAACACAAATTTAAAAAAGTAAAAGAAATATTAGGACGAGTCCAGAATATAAATATATATATACACTGAACAAAAATATAAACGCAACATACAATAATTTACTGCGTTATAGCTCATATAAGGAAATCCGGCAATTTAAATAAATGCATTACGCCCTAATCTATGGATTTCACATGACTGGGTGGACCTGGGAGGGTATAGGCCCACCCACTTGTGAGCCAGGCCGACCCACTGGGGAGCAAGCCCCAGCCAATCAGAATGGCTGAGAGTTTTACCCCACAAAAGGGCTTTATTACAGACAGAAATACTCCTCAGATTCATCAGCAATCCGGGTGGCTGATCTCAGACGATCCCACATGTGAAGAAGTCAGATGTGGAGGTCCTGGGCTGGCGTGGTTACACGTGGTCTGCGATTGTGAGGACGGTTTGACGTCCTGCCAAATTCTCTAAAAACGACGTTGGAGGTGGCTTATTGTAGATGAACATTCAATTCTCTGGCAACAGCTCCGGTGGACATTCCTGTAGTAGAAATGCCAATTGCACATTCCCTCAAAACTTGAGACATCTGTGGCATTGTGTTGTGTGACAAAACTGCAGCCTTTTATTGTCCACAGCACAAGGAGCACCTGTGTAATGATGCTGTTTAATCAGCTTCTTGATATGCCACACCTGTCAGGTGGATGGATGATCTTGGCAAATGAGAAATGCTCACTAACAGGGATGTAAACAAATTTGTGCACAAAATTTGAGAGAAAAAAGGTTGTGCACATGGAGCATTTCTGTGATATTTTATTTCATGGGACCAACAGTTTACATGTTGCAATTTTATTATTGTTCTATTTTTTTATAGATACAGTACCAGTCAGAAGTTTGGACACACCTACTCATTCAAGGGTTTTTCTTTATTTGTACTATTTTCTACATTGTAGAATAATAGTGAATACATCAAAACTATGAAATAACACATGGAATCATGTAGTAAGCAAAAACGTGTGAAAACATCTCAATATATATTTTATGTTAGAGATTCTTCAACGTAGCCACCCTTTGCGCGCATATATATATATATATATATATATATATATATGTGTGTGTGTGTGTGTGTGTGTACACATACATACAGTGGGGGAAAAAAGTATTTAGTCAGCCACCAATTGTGCAAGTTCTCCCACTTAAAAAGATGAGAGACCTGTAATTTTCATCATAGGTACACGTCAACTATGACAGACAAATTGAGAAGAAAAAAATCCAGAAAATCACATTGTAGGATTTTTTATGAATTTATTTGCAAATTATGGTGGAAAATAAGTATTTGGTCACCTACAAACAAGCAAGATTTCTGGCTCTCACAGACCTGTAACTTATTCTTTAAGAGGCTCCTCTGTCCTCCACTCGTTACCTGTATTAATGGCACCTGTTTGAACTTGTTATCAGTATAAAAGACACCTGTCCACAACCTCAAACAGTCACACTCCAAACTCCACTATGGCCAAGACCAAAGAGCTGTCAAAGGACACCAGAAAAAAAATTGTAGACCTGCACCAGGCTGGGAAGACTGAATCTGCAATAGGTAAGCAGCTTGGTTTGAAGAAATCAACTGTGGGAGCAATTATTAGGAAATGGAAGACATACAAGACCACTGATAATCTCCCTCGATCTGGGGCTCCACGCAAGATCTCACCCTGTGGGGTCAAAATGATCACAAGAACGGTGAGCAAAAATCCCAGAACCACACGGGGGGACCTAGTGAATGACCTGCAGAGAGCTGGGACCAAAGTAACAAAGCCTACCATCAGTAACACACTACGCCGCCAGGGACTCAAATCCTGCAGTGCCAGACGTGTCCCCCTGCTTAAGCCAGTACATGTCCAGGCCCGTCTGAAGTTTGCTAGAGTGCATTTGGATGATCCAGAAGAGGATTGGGAGAATGTCATATGGTCAGATGAAACCAAAATATAACTTTTTGGTAAAAACTCAACTCGTCGTGTTTGGAGGATAAAGAATGCTGAGTTGCATCCAAAGAACACCATACCTACTGTGAAGCATGGGGGTGGAAACATCATGCTTTGGGGCTTTTTTTCTGCAAAGGGACCAGGACGACTGATCCGTGTAAAGGAAAGAATGAATGGGGCCATGTATCGTGAGATTTTGAGTGAAAACCTCCTTCCATCAGCAAGGGCATTGAAGATGAAACGTGGCTGGGTCCTTCAGCATGACAATGATCCCAAACACACCGCCCGGGCAACGAAGGAGTGGCTTCGTAAGAAGCATTTCAAGGTCCTGGAGTGGCCTAGCCAGTCTCCAGATCTCAACCCCATAGAAAATCTTTGGAGGGAGTTGAAAGTCCGTGTTGCCCAGCGACAGCCCCAAAACATCACTGCTCTAGAGGAGATCTGCATGGAGGAATGGGCCAAAATACCAGCAACAGTGTGTGAAAAACTTGTGAAGACTTACAGAAAACGTTTGACCTGTGTCATTGCCAACAAAGGGTATATAACAAAGTATTGAGAAACTTTTGTTATTGACCAAATACTTATTTTCCACCATAATTGGCAAATAAATTCATTAAAAATCCTACAATGTGATTTTCTGGAATTTTTTTTCTCATTTTGTCTGTCATAGTTGACGTGTACCTATGATGAAAATTACCGGCCTCTCATCTTTCTAAGTGGGAGAACTTGCACAATTGGTGGCTGACTAAATAATTTTTTCCCCCACTGTATGTGTTATTTCATCGTTCTGATGTCTTCACTTTTATTCTACAATGTAATAAATTGTAAAAATAAAGAAAAACCCTTGAATGAGTACTGTGGCTTGTGAAAGTATTCACCCCCTTGGCATTTTTCCTATTTTGTTGCCTTACAACCTGGAATTAAAATATATTTTTTTGGGGTTTGTATCATTTGATTTACACAACATGCCTACCACTTTGAAGATGCAAAATATTTGTTACTGTGAAACAAGAAGAGAAAAAAACAGAAAACTTGAGCGTGCATAACTATTCACCCCTCCCAAAGTCAATACTTTGTAGAGCCACCTTTTGCAGCAATTACAGCTGCAAGTCTCGTGGGGTATGTCTCTATAAGCTTGGCACATCTAGCCACTGGGATTTGTGCCTATTCCTCAAGACAAAACTGCTCCAGCTCCTTCAAGTTGGATGGGTTCTGCTGGTGTACAGCAATCTTTAAGTCATGCCACAGATTCTCAATTGGATTGAGGTCTGGGCTTTGACTAGGCCATTCCAAGACATTTAAATATTTCCCTTAAACCACTCGAGTGTTGCTTTAGCAGTATGCTTAGGGTCATTGTCCTGCTGGAAGGTGAACATCCATCCCAGTCTCAAATCTCTGGAAGACTGAAACAGGTTTCCCTCAAGAATTTCCCTGTATTTAGCGCCATCCATCATTCCTACAATTCTGACCAGTTTCCCAGTCCCTGCTGATGAAAAACATCCCCACAGCATGATGCTGCCACCACCATGCTTCACTGTGGGGATGGTGTTCTCAGGGTGATGAGAGGTGTTGGGTTTGCGCCAGACATAGCGTTTTTCTTGATGGCCAAAAAGCTCGATTTTAGTCTCATCTGACCAGAGTACCTTCTTCCATATGTTTGGGGAGTATCACACATGCCTTTTGGTGAACACCAAACGTGTTTGCTTATTTTTTCTTTAAGCAATTTATTTTTTCTGGCCACTCTTCCGTAAAGCCCAGCTCTGTGGAGTGTACAGCTTAAAGTGGTCCTATGGACAGATACTCCAATCTCCGCTGTGGAGCTTTGCAGCTCCTTCAGGGTTATCTTTGGTCTCTGATTAATGCCCTCCTTGCCTGGTCTGTGAGTTTTTAGTGGGCGGCCCTCTCTTGGCAGGTTTGTTGTGCTGCCATATTCTTAAAAATTTTTAATCATGGATTTAAAATGGTGCTCCGTGGGATGTTCAAAGTTTTTTTATAACCCAACCCTGATCTGTACTTCTCCACAACTTTGTCCCTGACCTGTTTGGAGATCTCCTTGTTCTTCATGGTGCCGCTTGCTTGGTGGTGCCCCTTGCTTAGTGGTGTTGCAGACTCTGGTGCCTTTCAGAACAGGTGTATATATACACTGAAATTATGTGACAGATCATGTGACACATAAATAAAGTCCACCAGTGTGCAATCTAACTAATTATGTGATTTCTGAAGGTAATTGGTTGCACCAGATCTTATTTAGGGGCTTCATAGCAAAGGGGGTGAATACATATGCACGCACCACTTTTCCGTTATTCATTTATTTGAATTTCTTTAAAACAAGTTATTCGTTTCATTTCACTTCACCAATTTGGACTATTTTGTGTATGTCCAATACATGAAATCCAAATAAAAATCCATTTAAATTACAGGTTGTAATGCAACAAAATAGAAAAAATGCCAAGGGGGATGAATACTTTTGAAAGGCACTGTAGGTGTGTCCAAACTTTTGACTGGTACTGTGTGTATATACAGTTGAAGTCGGAAGTTTACATACACCTTAACCTGAGTTGAAATGTATTTGGCTTTCACAATTCCTAACATTTAATCCTAGTAAAAATTCCAGTTAGGATCACCACTTTATTTTAAGAATGTGAAATGTCACCACTTTATTTCTTCCATCACATTCCCCGTGGGTCAGAAGTTTACATACACTCAATTAGTATTCGGTAGCATTGCCTTTAAATTTTTTAACTTGGGTCAAACGTTTAGGGTAGCCTTCCACAAGCTTCCCACAATAAGTTGGGTGAATTTTGGCCCATTCCTCCTGACAGAGCTGGTGTAACTGAGTCAGGATTGTAGGCCTCCTTGCTCGCAAACGCTTTTTCAGTTCTGCCCACATATTTTCTATAGGATTGTCAGGACTTTGTGATGGCCACTCCAATACCTTGACTTTGTTGTCCTTAAGCCATTTTGCCACAACTTTGGAAGTATGCTTGGGGTCATTGTCCATTTGGAAGACCCATTTGCGACCAAGCTTTAACTTCCTGACTGATGTCTTGAGATGTTGCTTTAATATATCAACATAATTTTCCTTCCTCATGATGCCATCTATTTTGTGAAGTGCACCAGTCCCTCCTGCAGCAAAGCACCCCCACAGCATGATGTTGCCACCCCCATGCTTCACGCTTGGAGTTTGCCAAAAGGCACCTAAAGACTCTCAGACCATGAGAAACAAGATTCTCTGGTCGAATGAAACCAAGATTGAACTCTTTGGCCTGAATGCCAAGTGTCACGCCTGGAGGAAACCTGGCACCATCCCTACGGTGAAGCATGGTGGAGGCAGCATCATGCTGTGGGGATGTTTTTCAGCAGCAGTGACTGGGAGACTAGTCAGGGTCGAGGCAAAGATGAACGGAGCAAAGTGCAGAGAGATCCTTGATGAAAACCTGCTCCAGAGCGCTCAGGACAACAGACTGGGGCGAAGGTTCACCTTCCAACAGGACAACAACCCTAAGCACACAGCCAAGACAACACAGGAGTGGCTTTGGGACAAGTCTCTGAATGTCCTCGAGTGGCACAGCCAGAGCCCGGACTTGAACCCGATCGAATATCTCTGGAGAGACCTGAAAATAGCTGTGCCGCAATTCTCCCCATCCAACCATGAGAGGATCTGCAGAGAAGAATGGGAGAACGTTCCCAAATACAGGTGTGCCAAGCTTGTAGCGTCATACCCAAGAAGACTCAATGCTGTAATCGCTGCCAAAGGTGCTTCAACAAGGTACTGAGTAAAGGGTCTGAATATATTTATGTAAATATGATAGTTTTTTTATTTGAAATACATTTGCAAAAATGTCTAAAAACCTATTTTTGCTTTGTCTTTATGGGGTGTTGTGTGTAGATTGATGAGGGGGAAAAAAACAATGTAATTAACTTTGGAATAAGGCTGTAACGTAACAAAATGTGGAAAAAGTCAAGAGGTCTGAATACTTTCCGAAGGCACTGTATGTATAACAATAGTTGAATAGGATGGACTTGGCTAGAATACAGTATATACATATGAAATGGGTAAAACAGTATGTAAATATTATTAAAGTGACCAGTGTTCCATTATTAAAGTGAGCAGTTATTTGTCACCCAGAGTCACATTGATTTATTTTCCAAGTTATAGCACACAATATTTTACATAGGGCAGGTTTTTCTAAAAAAACAACGAGTTTGGTCTTCCTTTTTGACATGGAAAACATATTGCGATACTGGTATCGTCACAGCCCTAGCACTAGGCAGGTGAAATAGGGACACGTTTATTTTTGGTAATAATGATAACAGACAGAAATGCTGTCTTTTCCCCAAGGTAAACTCAGCCTCAAGTGATACACAGGACGAGGCTCCATTGTGAACCCAATGTACTGAACGTACAAACAGTACATCTGCTCCTCTTCCTACGGTAAGATTTTCACTGCAGAGAAATTACTGCAGCTCAGGGAGGAGCTCAAACTGGCTCAGTATTCAAATGAGAGTGGGGGAGAGATAGGAAGGGAGGAGTGTGTGTGTGTGCGCGGGTATGTACGTACATACGTACGTACGCATGCCCGCGTGTGTAGGGATGTGTGTGAGAGATAGAGAGAGAACGGCTCACCGTCCAGAGCCTCCTTGAGCTCGTCTTTGGTCCAGGCCACCTCTGTCATCAGCAGACGCAGGTAGTACATGGCATGCTGATGGGGTTGCTCCGCCCTGAAGTTGTTCAGCGACCTCATATACTGGAGGAGGGGTCAAAGGGAAACCAGGGGTCAACGTTCAGCCCAGTCATTTCAGGAGTCAAACACATTTCAAGGATAGTTTTGGTGTGCCATGGGGTCAAACAATATCAGAACCACAGAGTCAAAAACCAGCATCAGCTTCGATCCATTATGATATCATAGCCTGAGAACAGTTTTAAACTGGGGGGTGGGGCTCAGCTTACCGCTTCCTTGATGATGTCAAAGCGTTTCTCATCAATCTCAAACGCAGCCATCTTCTCAATGATCTTCTTCAGCAGGATGTGCTGCTTGTCATTGTAACCCTTCACTGAGAGCTGTGGGAAGGAGATGGAAGGAAGAGGGTGGGAGAGATAAAAGGTGAGCATAACTTGATGTGGCATAGAACCTGTAGGAAAGAACAGTAAAATGTGTGTGCGGATTAATAAACAGCCCCATCGGTTAGGGAAACTAAAAGGTAGTATTATTTTTAGACCACCCTCCTAAACCTCCCCTCCTGCCCCTTCCTCTAGGACACTGACTCTCCTCAGTGTAACGCTAACCACGTATCTGTCAAAGGGGACACTGAGTGCTGGCTGAGTCCTGAGCACAGTCTGTGAAATGGCCCCTCACACACAGCAGAGGGAGGCAGGCTGGGCCATGACGTTCCTCTACCGTGACTGTCACTGACCGCGCTAGCATCCACGCTAATGACTGTGGCATCACACACTAGCTCGTTATACACACTAGCTCGTTAGCACAGGGTGCCAACCCGGCATTGCTGCCACTGCAATGAACATTTTATGGGTCTGTAGCCAACTACTCAACTCTCTACATAGCAAGCATTGCTCATTACCATCTACTGCAAATGCATTTCCCCAAGCTAACAATAAGTTATCCAGTGAGTGGTGTGTGTATGCATGTGACTGTAGTATGTCCGTGTAAATTTATCAAACCAACCACACAGTGCTTGGGCAGAGCCCAGTCAAGGTTATATGAAGCTCTGCTTTGCACTATCATCCAAACCTTCAGGCGCCTTCATGAATCTGAAATACCATCAGGCTACAGCGTTTAGCTCTCGTAGTCACCCTCTACCTCCCCTCTCTCGTTCTCCCTGACACACACTGACACCAGTTAACTCTAAATCTCTTCCAACATCATTACCCTTGATGAGTCCCCAGCTAGTTTGTGCTGACTCAACTCTATTACTCCTAAAGCTTAGAAAAGCTTAATATAGAGAAAACCACCCTATCATAAAGGCGTTTTTCTGGATTTTTTTGTTGTTATTCTGTCACTTATTCTGTCTATAGACTGATAATTTCTTTGTCAGTGGGCAAACATACAAAATCAGCAGGGGATCAAATACTTGTTTTCCCCTCACTGTATGTGTGATTGGCTGGAATGGAGAATTAAATAATTTCTAAAGCATGTAGCATCAACCCATGAGGGATTAGCCTATAAAATGTATAATCCTATTCTTAGGTAGTCTCTTATTTATGACGTTGATATCACATAACAGTAGTGGATAACTTTAACAAGCAGGCAAAATATCCTCATGACTAGGACTATGCTTCATTCTGCACACATAAGATACTGTTTGACAGAGGTAGGCTTAGTTTGGATGTTAGACATGTGAGAGGAGTAAAATGAGTTAGTTAAAGAGTAAAACCAAACCACCACAAACCAAAGCTAGACAGGGACAGAGTGTGTACGATAGAAGACAAGCATCATTGCGCATCTCGATTCGCCATTAAAACAAACACATAGCAAAACCTAATTCCAATACTAAGCGATATGAAGATAGTTTTTGAGGACAAATTGGAAGGAGCTTTCGAACGCTATTAGCTATACGTACAATGCCAGCTCCAGTCTCTAACTTGCTATTGGGATCATGAGTCAGCAGAATTTACAGTACCTATACATTGTTTTTGGCTTTATTCCTTTAGGACTTGTGAAGGAGACCCGTACTGTTCTATCTGGCTGACATTGACAGTAATGAGAATTTCAAAATAGATGCCAAAGATGCATTAAAATAAATCAACAAAATGTGAGAGAATGTATGAAGTTCTATCTAGGTGTATTAGTTGGGGTGTGTTTTGGGAGTGATTCAGTGAAATCAACGGGGCCAAACGTGTCCTTCAAAACAGGCAGTCTGCTGATATTATAGTTCATATTTTAATGCAGACCTGATCAATTGAACTTACTCTGTTGTCAGATAAGTATTGGATAAATGAATAGTTGATGTTCAACTTCATATCAGTTAAACAGCATTCCTTGAAGACTACAGTCGTGGTCAAAAGTTGAGAATGATACAAATATTAATTTTCACAAAGTCTGCTGCCTCAGTTTATATGATGGCAATTTGCATATACTCCAGAATGTTATGAAGAGTGATCAGATGAATTGCAATTAATTGCAAAGTCCCTCTTTGCCATGAAAATGAAAATCCCCCAAAAAACATTTCCACTGCATTTCAGCCCTGCCACAAAAGGACCAGCTGACATCATGTCAGTGATTCTCTCGTTAACACAGGTGAGAGTGTTGACGAGGACAAGGCTGGAGATCACTCTATCATGCTGATTGAGTTAGAATAACAGACTGGACGCTTTAAAAGGAGGGTGGTGCTTGAAATCATTGTTCTTCCTCTGTTAACCATGGTTACCTGCAAGGAAACACGTGCCGTCATCATTGCTTTGCACAAAAAGGGCTTCACAGGCAAGGATATTGCTGCTAGTAAGATTGCACCTAAATCAACCATTTATCGGATCATCAAGAACTTCAAGGAGAGAGGTTCAAATGTTGTGAAGAAGGCGTCAGGGCGCCCAAGAAAGTCCAGCAATCGCCAGGACCATCTCCTAAAGTTGATTCAGCTGCGGGATCGGGGCACCACCAGTGCAGAGCTTGCTCAGGAATAGTAACAGGCAGGTGTGAGTGCATCTGCACGCACAGTGAGGCAAAGACTTTTGGAGGATGGCCTGGTGTCAAGAAGGGCAGCGAGGAAGCCACTTCTCTCCAGGAAAAACATCAGGGACAGACTGATATTCTGCATAAGGTACAGGGATTGGACTGCTGAGGACTGGGGTAAAGTCATTTTCTCTGATGAATCCCCTTTCCGATTGTTTGGGGCATCCGGAAAAAAGCTTGTCCGGCGAAGACAAGGTGAGCGCTACCATCAGTCCTGTGTCATCCCAACAGTAAAGCATCCTGAGACCATTCATGTGTGGGGTTGCTTCTCAGCGAAGGGAGTGGGCTCACTCACAATTTTGCCAAAGAACACAGCCATGAATAAAGAATGGTACCAACACATCCTCCGAGAGCAACTTCTCCCAACCATCCAAGAACAGTTTAGTGACGACCAATGCCTTTCCCAGCATGATGGAGCACCTTGCCATAAGGCAAAAGTGATAACTAAGTGGCTCGGGGAACAAAACATCAACATTTTGGGTCCATGGCCAGGAAACTCCCCAGACCTTAATCCCATTGAGAACTTGTGGTCAATCCTCAAGAGGCGGGTGGACAAACAAAAACCCACAAATTCGGACAAACTCCAAGCATTGATTATGCAAGAATGGGCTGCCATCAGTCAGGATGTGGCCCAGAAGTTAATTGTCAGCATGCCAGGGGGCGGATTGCAGAGGTCTTGAAAAAGAAGGGTCAACACTGCAAATATTGACTCTTTGCATAAACTTAATGTAATTGTCAATAAAAGCCTTTGACACTTATGGAATGCTTGTAATTATACTTCAGTATACCATAGTAACATCTGACAAAAACATCTAAAAACACTGAAGCAGCAAACTTTGTGAAGACCAATACATGTGTCATTCTCAAAACTGTTGACCACGACTGTACATTTGGCCATCCTTGCAGTGAAACCACAAGTTGGAACATAAACGGACAGGACACAAAAAAGGAAAGGGGGGCTCTAGGACCTCCCCATCTTCCTACAGACAGACTAACACACACAGAAACAAACGGCGTAGATAGACGGAAAAGATACAGCCAGTCTTCCACACTCAGAGCCTCAAGCTGTCAAGTCTAGCTTTTCCGACGAGGCGGTTCGAGGGAGGGAGGAGGGAGAAAGGAAAGATGAAGAGGATAATGCAGCCAGGGCTGATACGAAGGCCCATGTTGAGAATGCACGAGGGAGGAACAGGTGGGTTTGGGGTCGCGGCGGCGATGGGAAATGTGGATACTTACATACATCCCATAGATGGTATTTTGGAGGTCATAGTTCAAGCCGGCTAGCTCGGCTGCATATGCATACTCGTTGAGGGAGTCCTTGAGGAGCTCCAGGTACAAATAGGCCATGTTACAATGTATTGGGTCCACATACGCAAACGGGCTGTAGAGAAAATGGCAGTGATGAATCAACTGTTAGCTACAACTTTACAGCCAGAAATCTCTCTCCAAATCACTGTCCTTGAAAAGCAAACAGTAGCAGTGTTGCTTCTACATTAATTGATTAATTCAAGGATAGGGCTCAGCAGGACAAGTGGGTTCCCATGTGGTCCTTCCTAATATGATTTGAAATAGCAGTATTTGAGTCCTATAACTACAATAGTTTGTATGAGGAAAATAATACAAACGATTGATCAGATCATCATCTCATAAACTTGAACAGGGGCTGTGGTTTGTCTACCAACCTGAAGAACTCAAAGTTAAGGCATGCCTTTGGTAGGAAAAACTTGTCATCCTGCTTGAACCACACCTTGCTCATAGCAGTGTCCTAGAAAAAAAGAATGCATGGTTACATTAGCAGCAGATTCCATTGAGGAGAAAGGGCATGCAAAAAGTACTGCAGCCTGATATCTTCATATACTTGTTTTTACGAGGTATATCAAATCTCTACAACTGCTTTTGTACTTTATTGGGTTGTGAACAGCAGTCAAAAATGTAATACTGAAGCTAATAGCTCAAAAGAGTTGTTCCACAAGAGATTCCAACCTGTCAGCAGTAGTTACCATGTACATCCTCTGATCAGAACACCTTGACAACAGTACTAAATACTTAACATCTCAATCCTGACACTGTTTCCTCATTGTCATATGAAAGCTTATGAACCAATTCAGACACTTGAAACACGCAGCAAAACGTTCAGTTCTGTCTAGCTGCTTGGCAATTTAAGTAAAAACTGTTTGTTAATGTAACACCACAACATTTTAGTCAATTAGCAGACGCTCTTATCCAGAGCGAGGCCTTACCTTGATTAGAGTGGGGGCGGAGGGAGAGTCCTTCTCCAGAGGGTAGATCTCAAAGCTGGTGGGAATGAACTCATTCTTCATGGGCAGCTTGAACTTGCCATTGAGGTTGGCGTTTCCCCATTTCTGAAACACAGACGATTTAGCTAGTCCTCCTTGCTAAGTTGAGGGTTGGGTAGGGAATTTATTGATACGTGACTAAAGGCTTCAACACATCTATCCAACTATGGCCAATAAACTATAGACGACGAAACTCAGACAAACTGTCCATGGCAGATTCAACATGACACAGGATCAACTTTGTCCAGTGGCAACCAACTACACACTAGGGTTCGGCAGTATACCAGATTTGGAAATACCCACGGCATGATTTCCAATACTGTCAAAACCATTTTCTTATTTTTTATTTATTTAGCTACTTAAGTAAATAGCTACAGGTTACGAGAAAGCAGATTGCGTTCTTCATTTCAACGGTCACATTATTTTTCATTATAGGCTTAATCCATTTGAAATCAATCACTTTTTGACAGCATCCCTTTTGATTTAAACAAAACTTTCCATACATGTCTGGCCATGGAAGAGGTGGTCAGAAAGTGATTTTTATTAAAACCTGAATGCCAAAAAATTCAGGAGATATAGGTGCTCAATGTTGACCCATTTTACATACCCCACCATACCATGAGACATCCATATCTTCATCACTTGAAAATATAGCTAGGTTGAGTTTGATATAACTTAAAAGCTTACAAAACAGCGTTGTCAAACTATTTTATAATTTCTTGAAAACAATGTTACATTTTTTGGGGGGGGACTTACCTTTAAAATCAATCATCAAAAAATATGTGAAGTCAGAATTGTGTAATATTCGCATGTTGTAGCTTAGACCCTACTTCACATCAGAGGTTGTGTTGTGCCCGCTATCAGTTGAGACACAACATGCTCTTGAATACAGGGTGGGTGTCACTTAAATCATAGAAATATAATTAATAGAATGGACCTAACCATTCAGACCACTGCAGTTTGGCTGGTACACCATTGAAATATAAACTTCTAATTACTACCACAAAGATGGTGTTCATGTCTTTTTTATTTCCTATATTAGTTCAATAGGTTTCTTATGGAGGCTTGACACTCATTTAAAACAACATATTCCCATTCAAGTCAACATTCTGATGTGTGGACCTTCAACCATCTTTGTGGTACCATTTGAAAGTTGAAATGTAAAATTGTATTACCCTTTTTAGTACATTTATCAGCCAAAACATGACACCTACCCTGTAAGAGCATGTTGCGTCTCAACCGATGGGCACAACACAAACACCTCAGATGATGTAAAATAGGTCCTAAACTACAACATATGCGAATATTTAAAAAAAATATTAATATATAAAATAGTTTGACAACCCTGTTTGTAAGCTTTTAAATGATATCTCAACCGTTTATATTTTCCAGTGATGAAGACATGGATGTCTCATGGCATGGTGGGGTATGCAAAATAGGTCAACTTTGAGCATCTTTTATACGGTCCTCTGTAGCTCAGTTGGTAGAGCATGGCGCTTGCAACGCCAGGGTTGTGGGTTTGTTTCCCACGGGGGGCCAGTATGAAAATGTATGCACTCACTAACTGTAAGTCGCTCTGGATAAGAGCGTCTGGTAAATTACTAAAATGTAATCGCAGATTGCCAATTTAAGCATTGCCAATGGACAATTTAAAAAGACGCCCAGTCAGATCTGAATCTCAAATCTGTCCTCTATTCCTTGTTTCCGTTCCTCCTACTGAAAATGCATTGAAGGAGAAGGTCCGAGAAGAGGAACAGCCGATCTTCTCCTACAATGTGTTTCGAGGATGAGGCAAGGAGAGGACGTGAGGAATCAAAGAAAGACTTCTGAGATGCACCCACAGGGTGATGGGTATATAGAAAAGCTGTCGAGTTTGAATGCATTTCAGTCTCACCTTGAGGACTTCCTCAGAGATGGGCTCCTGTTTGTAGTGCGTCCCATACCATTCCTCCGTCTTGTCTGTCTGCCCTTCAAACGACTTTGAGACAACTGCGACTCTGCAGGGAGAGGATGAGAGACAGGTCTCATTATTAGCATGTATAAACCCCCTTGTCAGATCGGTTTAGAGTCAGACACTCCATTTTCCGTGTGGCCTACGCTAGATTTGTAGCCGACCATATGACATCAGCGCGAGTGCCTTCCATAGCCCTTTCTATATCAGTGTTCTATTTGTAGGATGCCAATAGTAGTGACTTAAGTAGAGTAGTAGTGACTGTAGTGGTAGTAATACTGCAGAATGTGTTATTGAGCTCCCCATTGATTCAGGTTCAACAGTTTCTGAAAGTTCTCTTAATTCAACAGTGGGAAGTTTAGGTGAATGTTAAAGGTCCAATGCAGCGATTTCATTCTCAATATCAAATCATTTCAGGGTAACAATTAAGTACCTTACAGTGATTTTGCTAAATTAAAATGTTCATAAATAAAAAAAATACACATTTTCTTAACAAAAAGTATTTGATCCCCTGCTGATTTTGTATGTTTGCTCACTGACAAAGAAATGATCAGTCTATAATTTTAATGGTAGGTTTATTTGAACAGTGAGAGACAGAATAACAAAAAAATCCAGAAAAACGTATGTGAAAAATGTTATAAATTGATTAGCATTTTAATGAGGGAAATAAGTATTTGACCCCCTCTCAATCAGAAAGATTTCTGGCTCCCAGGTGTCTTTTATACAGGTAATGAGCTGAGATTAGGAGCACACTCTTAAAGGGAGTGCTCCGAATCTCAGCTTGTTACCTGTATAAAAGACACCTGTCCACAGAAGCAATCAATCAGATTCCAAACTCTCCACCATGGCTAAGACCAAAGAGCTCTCCAAGGATGTCAGGGACAAGATTGTAGACCTACACAAGGCTGGAATGGGCTACAAGACCATCGCCAAGCAGCTTGGTGAGAAGGTGACAACAGTTGGTGCGATTATTCGGAAAGGGAAGAAACACAAAATAACTGTCAATCTCCCTCGGCCTGGGGCTCCATGCAAGATCTTACCTCGTGGAGTTGCAATGATCATGAGAACGGTGAGGAATCAGCCCAGAACTACACTGGAGGATCTTGTCAATGATCTCAAGGCAGCTGGAACCATAGTCACCAAGAAAACAATTGGTAACACACTACGCCATGAAGGACTGAAATCCTGCAGCACCCGCAAGGTCCCACTGCTCAAGAAAGCACATATACATGCCCGTCTGAAGTTTGCCAATGAACATCTGAATGATTCAGAGGAGAACTGGGTGAAAGTGTTGTGGTCAGATGAGACCAAAATCGAGCTCTTTGGCATCAACTCAACTCGCCGTGTTTGGAGGAGGAGGAATGCTGCCTATGACCCCAAGAACACCATCAAACATGGAAACATTATTTTTTGGGGGTGTTTTTCTGCTAAGGAGACAGGACAACTTCACCGCATCAAAGGGACGATGGATGGGGCCATGTACCGTCAAATCTTGGGTGAGAACCTCCTTCCCTCAGCCAGGGCATTGAAAATGGGTTGTGGATGGGTATTCCAGCATGACAATGACCCAAAACACATGGCCAAGGCAACAAAGGAGTGGCTCAAGAAGAAGCACATTAAAGTCCTGGAGTGGCCTAGCCAGTCTCCAGACCTTAATCCCATAGAAAATCTGTGGAGGGAGCTGAAGGTTCGAGTTGCCAAACGTCAGGCTCGAAAACCTTAATGACTTGGAGAAGATCTGCAAAGAGGAGTGGGACAAAATCCCTCCTGAGATGTGTGCAAACCTGGTGGCCAACTACAAGAAACGTCTGACCTCTGTGATTGCCAACAAGGGTTTTGCCCCCAAAGTACTAAGCCCATGTTTTGCAGAGGGGTCAAATACTACAGTGGGGAAAAAAAGTATTTAGTCAGCCCCCAAATTGTGCAAGTTCCACTTAAAAAGATGAGAGAGGCCTGTAATTTTCTCATAGGTCCACGTCAACTATGACAGACAAAATGAGGAAAAAAAATCCAAAAAATCACATTGTAGGTTTTTTAAATGAATTGATTTGCAAATTATGGTGGAAAATAAGTATTTGGTCAATAACAAAACGTTTTTATATACCCTTTGTTGGCAATGACACAGGTCAAACGTTTTCTGTAAGTCTTCACAAGGTTTTCACACACTGTTGCTGGTATTTGGCCCATTCCTCCATGCAGATCTCCTCTAGAGCAGTGATTTTTGGGCTGTCGCTGGGCAACACGGACTTTCAACTCCCTCCAAAGAATTTCTATGGGGTTGAGATCTGGCGACTGGCTAGGCCACTCCAGGACCTTGAAATGCTTCTTACGAAGCCACTGCTTCGTTGCCCGGGCGGTGTGTTTGGGATCATTGTCATGCTGAAAGACCCAGCCACGTTTAATCTTCAATGCCCTTGCTGATGGAAGGAGGTTTTCACTCAAAATTTCATGATACATGGCCCCATTCATTCTTTCCTTTACACGGATCAGTCGTCCTGGTCCCTTTGCAGAAAAAAAGCCCCAAAGCATGATGTTTCCACCCCCATGCTTCACAGTAGGTATGGTGTTCTTTGGATGCAACTCAGCATTCTTTGTCCTCCAAACACGACGAGTTGAGTTTTTACCAAAAAGTTCTATTTTGGTTTCATCTGACCATATGACATTCTCCCAATCCTCTTCTGGATCATCCAAATGCACTCTAGCAAACTTCAGACGGGCCTGGACATGTACTGGCTTAAGCAGGGGGACACGTCTGGCACTGCAGGATTTGAGTCCCTGGCGGCGTAGTGTGTTACTGATGGTAGGCTTTGTTACTTTGGTCCCAGCTCTCTGCAGGTCATTCACTAGGTCCCCCCGTGTGGTTCTGGGATTTTTGCTCACCGTTCTTGTGATCATTTTGACCCCACGGGGTGAGATCTTGCGTGGAGCCCCAGATCGAGGGAGATTGTCAGTGGTCTTGTATGTCTTCCATTTCCTAATAATTGCTCCCACAGTTGATTTCTTCAAACCAAGCTGCTTACCTATTGCAGATTCAGTCTTCCCAGCCTGGTGCAGGTCTACAATTTTGTTTCTGGTGTCCTTTGACAGCTCTTTGGTCTTGGCCATAGTGGAGTTTGGAGTGTGACTGTTTGAGGTTGTGGACAGGTGTCTTTTATACTGATAACAAGTTCAAACAGGTGCCATTAATACAGGTAACGAGTGGAGGACAGAAGAGCCTCTTAAAGAATAAGTTACAGGTCTGTGAATTTCCCTCATAAAAATACAAATCAATTTATAACATTTTTGACATGCGTTTTTCTGGATTTTTTTGTTGTTATTCTGTCTCACTGTTCAAATAAACCTACCATTAAAATTATAGACTGATCATGTCTGTCAGTGGGCAAACGTACAAAATCAGCAGGGGATCAAATAAATTTTTCCCTCACTAGGACCGTCTGGGAGTGGTCTGAGTGGGGAGGGGAAAACTGAAAACTAGCTGTTATTGACAGAGAGGTTTGGAACTCTCTTTCTTATTGGTCTATTAACTGGTGATGTCACCAAGCAGGCCAAAACTCCATCCACCAAGACAGACTGAAGTTTCAAGCTATCTTTTCAAAAAGTTCTTACACTAAAAGGGCATTATCATTTTCACAGAATTATTCCAACCTCACTGTGTAAATATATATAAAACACATGAAAATCACATTGACTACATTGGGCCTTTAAGGTAAATTTGCCATGAGAATGACTAAACGGAGTGTGTAATGGGAAATTTAAAATCACTAAAGGTCATATTTAGATTGAGTCTCTGTACCCCTACATGCTTGTATGGTTAATGACATGACTGAATAGTTCCACTCCTAGCCTAATGGTTGTGTGACAACATGTATGACCTTGGTTGTTTGTTATTCAAGTTGACTCAGTTCATGTTCAGGCAGCGTCAGCAGAACAGTGTCGTGGTATCTGAATGTTTGTAACCGAGGTGTACTTATTTCAAACATCACAGTGAGATACTGGCATTTTCAAAGCTAGGTAGAAAAAAGCTTATCCTACCAAGTCCCCTGAAAGAGGCAATGTAGGAAAGGAGAATGATTCAAATAAAAGTATTCCTCTGCATTTCATTGAGATATCCATATAAACACTACATGACCAAAAGTATGTGGACAACTGCTCGTCTCATTACAAAATCAGGGGCATTAATATGGAGATGTCCCCCCCTTTGCTGCTATAACAGCCTCCAGTCTTCTGGGAAGGCTTTCCACTAGATGTTGGAACATTGCTGCGGGGACTTGCTTCCATTCAATCACATGAGCATTAGTGAGGTCGGGCACTGATGTTGGGCGATTAGGCCTGGCTCGCAATCAGCGTTCCAATTCATCACAAAGGTGTTCGATGGGGTTGAGGTCAGGGCTCTGTGCAGGCCAGTCAAGTTCTTCCACACTGATCTTGACAAACTATTTCTGTATGGACCTCGCTTTGTGCACGGGGGCAGTGTCATGCTGAAACAGGAAAGGGCCTTCCCCAAACTGTTGCCACAAATTTGGAAGCACAGAATCGTCTAGAATGTCACTGTATGTTGTACCGTTAAGATTTACCTTCACTGGAACTAAGGGGCCTAGCCCGAACCATGAAAAATAACCCCAGACCATTATTCCTCCTCCACCCAACTTTACAGTTGGCACCATGCATTCAGGCATGTAGCCAAACCCAGATGAGTCTATGGAGATTGCATGGCTGTGTGCTCAATTTTATATACCCGTCAGCAATGGGTGTGGCTGAAATAGCCGAATCCACTAATTTGAAGGGGTGTCCACATACTTTTGTATATATAGTGTAGATAGTTGCTGGATGTACTCTTTTTCAAGGACATTACAAACGTGTTTATCAAAAGGCTCTTCAAACAGAAGTGTCATAGGCGTGTATTCTTAGTTGAGTGGAGCGCTGGTACCCTTGCAACACTGAGCCAATCTGGACTGCGCTGGTTTGATTATGCATCCGCCACAGTTGCTGAAACTATGCTGGAAAGAAGAATGTGAAAACAGAATAAAAAAAGCCAGTACAGTATGGTCTGGGTCGGCATGATAGTGTGAAAAGGGTATAGGAGAGTAGAGCAAACACGGTTAGTGACCTGGGAAAGAGCTGGAACTAACCTGACGTATTCTGGCTTCAGCTTGTCCAGCACCATCTCTATCAGGTCTGGCCTGAAGTCTTCCAGCAGGTACTCTGCTGCTAGGATCTCCTCCAGAGGGTAGTACTGCAAAACAGAGGACAAAAAAAAAAAAAGGTTTACATGCTAACAATGGGGGAGGCATTTGACTAACACGTGCAAGGGAACACAGTTCACTGGAGCTCAGAACTGGTGCTCTGCTTATAAAAAAAGAAAAAAAGATTAACACACAGAGGAATGAAAACCAACAGACACTGGACAACCTACCCTCCTCTATGACTGCCTTGCTACCATAGTAATATTTTGACTCTAGCAGGAATGGCAGTTTAATTTAGACTGGGGCTGAGTCCGCTGAATCTTTTCCCACAAAATAAGAGACTGGCAGACAAGGCAGTCTGATGACATCATTGTCATCAAACAGAGCCACGGAGCTGCAGTGCATCACCGTAGAGACGACCTTAAGAAATGGAGAGAGCACCACCTACGTGCAGTAATCCAGACACTTTGGAGGTGTAGCCACGAGGCCGCTCCTTGTCCTTGAACCTGAAGGCCACTGTGTTTAAGTCCTGCGGAGGAGAGACAAGTCACATGTCAACCACATGCAAATACAGTACTATTACATACAACAGAGGATTGAGCAACACTTACAAAAAGACAATTCAGATGTCATCCACGTGTTCTGTTAAATACACCAGAGGTTTAACTGTGAGGCCAACAAAAAGACGATTTGAGTCTTAGTCTTGGTCCTGACTTTATTTTGGTTTTGTAAAAAGGACTATACATGCATGATTGTTTCCTGACAGCACATACACTGGCTACTAAGATAGTGAGTAGCTTATAGTCATTTTAGCAGATGCGCTTATCCAGAGCGACTTATAGGAGCAATTAGGGTCATGTCCCTTGATCAAGGGCACATGGACAGATTTTTCAACTAGTCGGCTCAGATTCGAACCAGCGACTTTTCAGTTACTGGCACAAAGCTCTTAACCCCTAGGCTACCTGCCACTCAGAAACTAGACTGAGCTCAGAGACTAGGAGTGAGTGGTACTACAGTGCAGTATTTACCTTGCACTCCTCGAAGACCCACTCCTGAGGCCCCTTCGTGCGCAGCTTCTGGATGTACTGGAACATGTGGAAGATGATGTCATCCACGTGCACTACAGAGACAAATGACATTTCAGCGCACATGGTTGAAACAGAACATACAGTGCATTTGGAAAGTATTCAGACCCCTTGACTTTTTCCACATTTTGTTTACGTTACAGCCTTATTCTAAAATTGATTAAATTGTTTCCCCCCCTCATCAATCTACACAAAATACCCCATAATGACAAAGCAAAAACAGGTTTAGACATTTTTTTTAAAGAAACAGAAATATCACATTTACATAATTCAGACCCTTGACCCAGAACTTTGTTGAAGCACCTTTGGAAGACTTGGGTATGACGCTACATACTTGGCACACTTGTATTTGGTGAGATCCTCTCAAGCTCTGTCAGGTTGGATGTGGAGCGTCGCTGCACAGCTATTTTTCAGGTCTCTCCAGAGATGTTCGATCAGGTTCAAGTCCGGGCTCTAGCTGGGCCACTCAAGGACATTCAGAGACTTGTCCCGAAACCACTCCTGCGTTGTCTTGGCTGTGCGTTTAGGGTCGTTATAGGGTCGTTGTCCTGTTGGAAGTTGAAACTTCGCCCCAGTCTGTTGTCCTGAGCGCTCTGGAGCAGGTTTTCATCAAGGATCTCTGTACTTTGCTCTGTTCATCTTTCCCTCAATCCTGACTAGTCTCCCAGTCCCTGCCGCTGAACAACATCCCCACAGCATCCCGTAGGGATGGTGCCAGGTTTCCTCCAGACGTGACGCTTGGCATTCAGGACAAAGAGTTCAATCTTGGTTTCATCAGACCAGAGAGTCTTGTTTCTCATGGTCAGAGTCCTTTAGGTACCTTTTGGAAAACTCCAAGCGGGCTGTCATGTGCCTTTTACTGAGGAGTGGCTTCCATCTGGCCACTCTACCATAAAGACCTGATTGGTGGAGTGCTGCAGAGATGGGAGAACCTTTCAGAAGGTCAACCATCTCCACAGAGGAACTCTGTAGCTCTGTCAGAGTCACCTCCCTGACCAAGGCCCTTCTCCCCCGATTGCTCAGTTTGGCCGGGCGGCCAGCTCTAGGAAGAGTCTTGGTGGTTCCGAACTTCTTCCATTTAAGAATGATGGAGGCCAGTGTGTTCTTGGGGACTTTCAATGCTGCAGAATTATTTTGGTACCCTTCCCCATATATGTGCCTCAACACAATCCTGTCATCTCGGAGCTCTTTGGACAATTCCTTCAACCTCATGCCTTTTGCTCTGACATGCACTGTCAACTGTGGGACCTTATATAGGCAGGTGTGTGCCTTTTCAAATCATGTCCAATCAATTTAAATTTACCACATGTGGACTCCAATCAAGTTGTAGAAACATCAAGGATTATCAATAGAAACAGGATGCACCCGAGCTCAATTTCGAGTCTCATAGCAAAGGGTCTGAATACTTATGTAAATAAGGTATTTGTTTTCTATTTTTAATAAATTAGCAAACATTTCTAAAAACATGTTTTCACTTTGTCATTATGGGGTAGTGTGTAGATTGATGTGGAATTTGTTTAATTTAATCAATTTTAGAAAAGGCTGTAACGTAGCAGAATGTGGAAAAAGTCAAGGGGTCTGAATACTTTCCGAATGTACTGTAAACCACACACAGACAGCTTTCTGTCATGAGGGTGTGGGCACATACACACAAACAAAGCACACACAAAATCAAACACAATCCCTGAGATCATAATGCTTACAGAGTCCCTCCTCTGTCAGGTCCACATTGATGATGAAGAACATGAAGCCTTTAGCTCCCTCTTTCTGGCCTCCGACTAGCGTGTTTACCCAGCCTGAAGAAGAAAAGGGCACAGCTCCCATTATCAATTCAAATACAAACACTTCTACACATATACAGCAGTATAAACCCTTGACTGTTACAAAAATAAAAAAAGGAATTTAGGATATTTCTACATTAACATTTTAGTCATTTAGCAGAGGGTTAGTTATCGCATTCATCTTAAGATCTCTAAGTGGGACAACCACCTATCTCAGTCATATTAAGTACATTTTTAGCTATCAGCAAAGTCAGTACTAGTAAAAATGTGTGAAAGTGTTGCTGTGGGATTATTTAAGAAGAGGTAGGGTTTCAGCCATTTTCGTTAGATGGGCAGGGACTCTTCTGTCCTAGCTTCAGGGGGAAGCTGGTTCCAACATTGGGGTGCCAGGACCGAGAAGAGGTTTGCCTGGGCTGAGCGGAAGCTGCGGGTTTCTACCATTCTATCAAGCCCTAAATCTTAAACTGATATTCTCTTTATCACAGCCCTCTGGCCTACCTTTGGATTTGAGCTCAGACAGCAGGCTCCCTGGGCCCTCGTGGCCTATCAGGTGGCCCAGGTAGTGGCCTGGGTTGGACTTGTAGTACTTCTGCAGGTCTGGGATGGGGAACGTCACATACAGGTTTCGAATGTCCTTGATAGGTACCACTTTGTAGAATTGCTATGAAGGAAAATTAGGAATGAGATATTTGAATTGAGACAACGAAAAGTAGTTCAGTTGCACAACTTTTCCATGGGAGTCTGTATTCGAGTGTGTATCCATATATTTATTTGTGCGTGCGAGTATGTCTCCTCTTGGGGGAAGAAACTAAGGAGCTCACCCTGAGGTGCTCCTCCTGGAAGGGGTGCTCGGGGAACACGGGGATAGGCACATTCTTGTTCTCCACTTCTCCAAACAGCTTGACCACCATGGTGGTGAGCTCATCTAATGATTCTGTGTGAATGAGAAAAAGAAAAGGGCGAGATTAGTTTAATTTATTAAGATACGCATCAATCTTCCTGGGTTCATACTCAAACCATTCAAATTACAAAACAATTCAAATACACTTACTATACTGTAATTGTTATGTAGCATTTAATTGCATGTACATGAAGCACTGTTTTCATCCTGTAAGTTAGTTTATAATATTGTACAGTAACAGGAGAGGTCAATAATGCAAGCAAAATGTGCCCAGACACTATCACCCGTGTAGCTGTGAAAGCCATTAATGAAGTCATACCATTGTAAAACCAGCTGCCAAGTGCAGCCCATTTCATTTTACTATAGAGGACATGGTGTCACTAAATGCACCATTTCAACTGGGAAAGAACACACCAGTGACTCATTGGATCATGGCTCACAGAAGTGGAAAGGTGAACACAAGGGTTATTCAGGAATATTTTACTGGGGCTGGTGGGGACAGCGTATTAAAGGGGAAATAACTGCAACTGTAAAAGTAGACGTCTTAAATCACTTATTCTCTTTGGTCCTGATCCCTGCTCAGACTGAAATGTACTGTATTACATTCTAAGGCAGGGTTTCCCACTCATTTTGTTTTTTGGCCTAGCACTACACAGCTGATTCAAATAACCAAGCTTTGATTATTTGAATCAGCTGTGTAGTGCTAGGCCAGAAACCCCAGGCAATTCCATGTAATTGATCTATTCCAGAGCTAGCACACCTGATTAAACTTGTCAACTAATCCTCAAGCTCTTGAATAGCTAGTTCAGAGCTACAGCAAAATTGTGAAATGTCTTGGGGTCCCCGAGGAGAGGTTTGAGAACCACTGCAGTAGAGCACAGCACAGTACATTAGAGTACAGTATTAAAAAAAGTAGAGAAAGTATTTTCAACATTCATTCAGAACCAAAAATGAACCCAATTTCAACGTCCGAAAAATGTATTTTCAACATCAGGAAAATACATATTTTAAAACTTCCTGAAAAGACTTATTTTCACGTTTTATTCAGAACCTAAAATTAACCCAACTTCAACGTCTGGAAAATAAGTATTTTAAACTGAATTTTACTTACTTGGTTCAGATTTCTGGGCACACACTGAAAAGTAACTTGACACTGTTAATCAGTCAGCGCAAATTTGGATTTAAATGGCATGAAGAGAATTGCATTGACAGAGGAGGGTGTACTGAATTAATGCATCATAAGGTAAGGGCTGGAAATTGTTCAGGATGCTCGAGCAGCAACGTGTCTGTCTCATTTGTTGATTTAGCTAATTAGGTAGCTAGCATGTGTACACACTGCAATGCACAGTCAATGCCCTACTTACAGTAACTAACTGTTTCTTAACAAGACGATTTGTTTTATCAGCTACAGTTTGTGTTGTGAGAGGCTGATCTTGGTTGAGGAAATGTAGGCTAGTCTCGCGGCGAGACTTCCGGGAACACATGCGAAATAGACCAAGCAGACCAGGCTGGGGTTTGAGAAGTCAATGAGAAGTGAAAAATTCTTCCTGTTGTTAATTTTCTTGAAATCTAAAAGGCACAACCTAGATTCGAGACAATGTCTTAAGTATTTGAACATGTTATTACTCCAACCTCGTGAAAGTGACATGTTTTCATTCTCGACAAAAACAACTTTATATCGAAGGAGTGCTTTTGATTTGACGGCTGCACATGCGCAGTTTGGTGCGAGACGACGTTAGACCCGATGACGTGTTTCTGCGCATGAGCTTCGCTAGCCAACGTCGCCATGACATCGCCTACAAGCGTGATCTGGGATTTCCATTGGAGAAGCAGTTTCTGCCCATCTTTGTACTGTACTGTCTTTGCTATAGTCTCGTTTTAATCCGACGTCTAGAATTTGAGCTAGGTAGGCGCTATCGCCCATACAATAATAAGTAATATAAGACCTCTACTTTTAGTTGGAAGTTTAAGTTCAAACTTTGTATGTCTCTGGACGGCTGAGCAAACAGATGACTGCAGGACTTGGCTGAGTGTTTTGGGGGCTCAGTCCCAGACAGTTCCAGGAGAGGAGTATTAAGAAAAGCACTTCCTAGCCTTTAGTGTGACCTAAGAGAGGATGCGAGAGCTTTTAGCTCTGTATAGCTGACAGGTTATTTTCTACATCTAAACCAGCTTAAGATCTCTGATCCAGCAGCAACTCTCTGATTGTTACATATAAGCGGAGGTACGACACACAAACACACAGGCTAACACACCATACACACACTTACCTCTTCCCAGCACACACAATCCCATGAGGTTGGAGGAGTAGTAGGTGGAGTGGAATTTCAGGAGCTCCTGGCGGATGTCGATCCCATCCTTGGATGGCCTGGTCTCCAGAGTCAACTTGTTACCTGAAAAATCAACCAGATATAATTCTTAACCAGCTAGTCAATGCATGCACTAATATTTTTGTAATGTATGTACAGTGCGGTGAGTGCTTAACCTAATTGGACAAACTAATAGAACCTTTATCATTATATGATGTGTTGGAGAAAAAAAACTGTGGCAAAAATGAGGACATCAATGCATCAAATCAATTTGTAAAAAGCCAGAATTGTTGTCAAAGAGGACTTTATGAAACAGTCCACAGTGGGAGGGAGAATGCATCCACTTATAAGGAAAACAAGCTTGTTCTAAGAAAACCAATGTGTGAACAAAATTAATCCCAACAGTGATGCAACAGTGATCAATTCTGAGTAAGGCCAGCAGTGACAGACCGACCACTTTTCTGTCCTCTGTGGGACTAATTAGCCTACACAACCACAGCCCAAGTCTAGCACTTCATCTGTGGCAGGCTAGCTGGTGGGTATTTCCCTCTGCTAAAACAAATAACAGACAGAGCCACACAACATCTAGAACATCTGGAGAGATGTCAACTGTTAAAGGGGCCCTTCACCACTTTATAGGTGTGGTGCATGAAGCGGATGCGGCAGTGACGTTACCCGTGACTCGTCCTCCATGTTAGTCTGGAGCAACCCGTCTGTCTAGAGACTACCTTCCTCCCAGTCCATCCACAGTGGTAATGTTAAAGCCACAGGCCTCTGCTTGTCTCAGCCTTCCCTCTCTGGTGTTATAGGATGCAGGGCCAGGCCAGCGGCTGCAGATATACAGCCGACCCTCAGTGCCCAGATAACATTTATAGTTGGAATGGATTTTTTTTAAATGGCTGTCATTAACTCACAGGCAGAGGGGGAAAGATTGCTTGTACTGTTTTTTTCCTGTGGTATTTCAGCTTTATGAGATTAGGTTCAGATATGTCATCTTCCATCATTCTTGTTTTAGGGCCTGTCTGACCTGCCACTGCTTTTTTGTGTTTAAATGCATAGCCCTTTGTGTGCTATGTGGACTCTCTCCTTGTATTCCAGTTGGCTCATTAATCCCACCTCCTCTCCCCTGTAACTATTCCCCAGGTCGTTGCTGTAAATGAGAATGTGTTCAGTCAATTTACCTGGTAAAATAAGGATAAAATAAAATTGTATCTAGGTGCTGTAGGCCCCGTGTAGCTCAGTTGGTAGAGCATGGCATTTGCAATGCCAGGGTTGTGGGTTCGATTCCCACGGGGGGCCAGTATGAAAATGTATGCACTCACTAACTGTAAGTCGCTCTGGATAAGAGCGTCTGCTAAATGAAAAAAAATAAAAAATAGCCTAAATATTCATTATCTCAAGCACCATAATGTCTACATGTGAAAATGAATTTGTGGTGAAATGTTTCCCTTTAAGCATTTCTAAGAATGTTATGTTTTTGTGAAGGATGTCATGACCCCGTTTGTCTCCAACATTCGTTTATTAGTGAGTGTTTCGGCCGAGCTGATCCAGTTTCTGTTATTAGCCAAAAATAAAGCTTATATAACTCAACACTGCCACCAGCTGGCTCTTCTGGGCTGGGAGCTGCTCTAAGTATAATCATGTGAGAACACAGAGAGAGAAAGAGTGCACATTCCACAATTAAAGGCTGAGAGGAATTGAGTTGTTTTATACAGGACTGCTGGGTCATGTTCATAACGGCACACTGTACATAAATGTTTTGCAACGGAAAATTAAGTACTGGTAGTCCCTCCTGTTTCAGTTTGTTGTATTAAGTTTTGTGCCTAACGAATATGACGTGGGAGGATACATGCTGGGTTGGGTTGACCCGTCTATAGTATGTGAGGTGGCATGACGTTTTTACCGGTCCCAAATTTGCTGAACGGGTGGTTGGGGTTGCCAGTGGCCTTCTCCAGCTGGAACAGCCTCCAGGCATCATTCATCAGGTTCTTCTCGTGCTCGGAGTCCACAGCATTCACCTCACGGTCCTTACAGCTCTCGTCAAACAACGGGCACAGGAAGAACTGAGCAAACCTAGAGACATACAGGACAAGACATTAATTTAACAAGTTAACATGCATACTAGGCAAAAACAGGAAAATAGGCTATTTAGATTAGAACACTGGGGCCACTGGATGAATTTATTCTGAGTATTAACTTGATTGTCCTGGTGAAGGCCTTCAGGTGATGACTGTGCAAAAGGTGTATTAGGTGTGTGTGCTATTTATTGTTCCAGGCCAGAGGTTTATGACTACAGTGAAATGTGGAAAATCACACGGTCTGAATTCAGAGGTATACTTTTCTCTGCATAAGGCTGTTCGTCAGCAGACTCAATAGACAGCAGTGACATTTGACAGATCTGTATGCAAAGCTATTTGAATGGCACTGAGGGAGAGCAACTGCCATGCAAAGCAGAATGACTGCAATTAAGTGAATTAGCCAAAGTAAATGCCCTCCGCCGCTAGGCTTTGCATAGCCTGCAGCAACAGATTGTCAACATGCGTAGCTGGATGATTCAGAAATCTGAGATGTCACACAAGCATGTTGTCCAATTCTATATTCAAATGGCCCTATACACCTGTAATTACTCTTTTAGTAGCCCCATACACCCATTTTCAACAGCCATCCTTCATTTGTAGCACTATTCTATGAAGGTTCATGATATGGATTTGAAAATGGCTTCCAAAACCCAGATCATAGACTCCAGTGCTCCATTACTTTCATGCATTCCCAGCAGCACTATGGAACTATTAGGATGAGGAACTATGAGGCTTGAACAGGTGCTTCATAGACACTATTATTACAAAGCTTAACCCAAATCTACAGCTAGAAGTTATACTAGTACTCCATCCAAAATACATAATTTAGGCAACACACAGTGGCCATAATCGACTGAGGAAAGGCTGGTGTTCTAAAAAGGCCTCATCATTCAAGATGGGGAACCTTACTAAACCTGAAGCTTCCCCATCCAATTATTTGTATGCTAACAGTAACCCTTCCACCTTATCCACACCTAGTTAAGATGTGAGAGCTAAAGAAACTGATCTCATTCTATCCTTGAGGTCTCAGGTACTGGTAGGGGTGAAATTGACACTGGGACAGGTAACTGGAGACTGGGGGATGTGTCCTGGTGGCTCTCTGGGATTAACACCTGTGCTGCGTTCAGTAAATGTTTACGTTCTGGAACGTTCAATTGAACGCAAAGGGTGCTGCACTGAACAACCAATTGAAAAACTTTGAGGGGTTGGATTGTGGAACGCTGACAGCATTACTACGGCCATTTAAATATGTCGTCACTCATTGCTTCAGCCACACCCACCAAACAGGCGCAAACATACCTCAAAGTCTGTTCAAGAACATACAAGAACGTTTTAGGGAAACGTGTTGTTCAGTGCAAACCTTTCCGCAACATAGCAAACGTTCAAGCAAACTGAACGCACCTCAGGTAGACCCAGGGGATGGATCACATATTAATATTTAGAGAACACACACAGACTACACACATCATGTGGCCCTATAGAACTAGAGTAGTTCACTATCAAACAGAGAAAAACAACAGACCAGAGACGGCTCAGTTGAGAATGTAAATCAAACTTATTTTATACCACTTCTCCGCCAACTAGAGGCCAGTCCAGTTTGGGAGGGATCTTACAGCAACATAAATTGCTAGTCATGAGGAAAATCATAATATTTCATACACAGACAGCCTAATTGAGTCACAGTGGCACATCCAAGCTGTCAAAATGGGAGAGTCATGGGAGAATTTCTACTTTGACATAACCTGGGTCATATTCAAAAAGCACCAAACGGAAGAAAGCAAACTGAAACGGGGAGGGGCTACCTGAACTTGTCCAATAAAAAACGCTTGTTGTCCAATAAGTAAAGTTAATTTTGCAAAGACAAATTCTACATTGTGCCCTCATGAACTAGAGCCTGTTGGTTCACCCACCTGTCCAGTGCTCCCTCCAGGTGCTCATGGGATACGTCAAAGTAGTAGTTGGTGTGCTCTCCACTGGTGAAGGCATTGGAGCTGCCAGCATGCTCACTGAGAAACTGGCTGTACTCATTCTCCTTGGGGTACTTCTCTGTGCCCAAGAACAGCATGTGTTCGCAGAAGTGGGCAATGCCTGATATGTTCCCTGGGTCCGACAAAGAACCTGAGGTGGCAGACATAAGTGTCGAACACAGATAATCAGTATGTTTATTTGCTTCCACACACTGCTGCTCATAAAGTAATACAAAGTTAATTGATGTTTAGTTGCTGGCAGCCATAACACTGGAGAGATGCTGTTTTATCCACAAAGACACTAAAGGATTCAAGCTGTCAGGCTAGCATGGTTCAAATCCTGTTAAAGAGATTATGTGGTACTTTTGTGATTTTTGTGAATTTCTCCTATTTTGTGAATTTGGGGCTTGAAACAAATAAATAAAGACACAGATAAAGAGAGGTAACATTTAAGGAGAGATAGGGTTCGCTATGGGATGAAAATGTATACACTCACTTACTGTAAGTCTCTCTGGATAAGAGGGTCTGCTAAATGACTAAAATGTAAATGAGAGAGGTCCTGGTATTGAGAATGGGGCTGGGAGGCTGCCTGATGCCTAGGCTAGAGGTGGAGGGGGTGAATACTGTACCTATGTTGACGTCCAGCCCTGCTGACGACTTGTCTGTGGTGGGGTCACTGATGAGCACGGCCTTCAGGCCATTGGTGAACTCCAGACCCCTGTAGACCCGCTTGTCCTCTGGAGAGCGGACAATCTCACTGACCACCCTCTTCACGGCAGGGTCTGTCATTCTGAGGGGCAGAGATGACTCAAGCCTGTACAACACAGGGGATAATGCTGTTATTATTCTACCCACTACTTATCAATTGACTAAACAAGCCATCTACAGACAGATGGAAGTTACAATGATTGTTTTTAACATGTAGGGGGGGAATGTATATTGGCGAGCATTCTGAGTGATGCAAGGTAGATGGACTGCCCAAACTGAAGTGCCATATTTAGACCCCAAATTGGCAGTGCCCTCAATGAAGGTAGAGGACAGACTGCCCTAGGGTGGTATTTGGTATTTTATTAGGATCCCCATTAGCTGTTGCAAAAGCAGCAGCTACTCTTCCTGGTGTCCACACAAAACATGACATAATACAGAACATTAATAGACAAGAACAGAAGGACAGAACTACATACTTTTTCTTTTTTTTTTCAAGACACAGGTAGCCTACATATCAATACATACACAGAAACTATCTAGGTCAAATAGGGGATAGGCGTTGTGCCGTGAGGTGTTGCTTTATCCGTTTTTTCCTAAACCATGTTTGCTGTTTATTTGAGCAATATGAGATGGAACGGAGTTCCATGCAATAATGTCTCTATATAATACTGTACGCTTTCTTGAATTTGGTCTGGATTTGGGGCCTGTGAAAGGTGGCTGAGCAGACGCCAGCATTCAGTCAACAGAAGAACAGCGGACCAATAGTACCGTGCACACAAGCGCGTCAGTCAATTAATTCAACAGGCAGATATGCAGAATTGTATAGGTTGGAAATAAAGTTTAAATACCTGGGTCTATCCGGGTATATCACCCAGTCCACTATGAAAACAACAGCAAACAAATGGATTGTTTGTTTGTTTGTTACTAACAACACTCCTCAATAAAGTAACAATTTACCGTTAAACAGATGTTGGCAAACAGCTCTGTACACCAAGTAAACAAAATATATTAGCTAGCTTCTGGTTTACTACAAGTTAACCTACTTTGTTACAATATAGCTAGTCACATTTAATTTGTTCACAGCACGAGTGTATTCTTCCTAGGCTGGTTTGAGTTTGCAAATTAGCCGCACTGGGATAGCCGAGTGCAACCAGCAGAGATTAACCTCATTAACTGGCTAGCCGGAGTCCTACTAGCTAGCTAAATTTTGTGCGTAGCTGGTGCATCCAGGTGAGGTAGCTAGACTGGCTGGTTATAAATGAAGTGCATAGATTTTTCCTTGGTTAGCTAGCTACCAAAGATGATTTGCTACCTTGTGTACTGTTACGTAGCTAGCTGCTAATGCTATTATGCTAATGCTTAGTCAGCCCGCGCTAGCTAGGTAGCAAAGCTACCTACTGTGTCATTCTGTGGCAAAATAACGTTACAGTTAGCTGGTTAATTATTAGCTAATTTCATTAGGGTTTTTAAAGTGGATAGTATCTGACATTTAACACTCACTTAAAATGTTGATTAAAGTACAAACTATTCCCCGCAACCAGAAGCTGTCTCGTAAACTGGGCCGGTCGGCTAAAACATTGCAGCATACTTCAGATAGACAAATCAGAGAAACCTTAACCACAGAGTTTCTAAACCCAGAGGCACAACATCGCGAGACTTCCGGGAACGCTTGCGAAACAGATCACGCTGGGGTTTGAGAAGTCAATGAGCGAAGTGAAACATTCTTCCTTAATTGTTAATTTTCTCGAAGTCTAAAGGCACAACCTAGGTTCAAGCAAATGTCTTAAGTATTTGAACATGTTATAACTCCAAACTCGTTAAAGTGACAAACTGACACATTTTCATTTTCGTCAAAAACAACTTTATATCGAAGTGCCTTTGATTTGACGGTCTGCACATGCGCAGTTCGGCGATGACGTGTTTCTATTCATGAATTTTGCTAGCCAACATCGTCTTCAAGTGTAATCGGGGATTTCTATTGGAGAAGCAGATTTAGCCTATCTTCATACTGTACTGTCTTTGCCTTCACGGCACCATGTTGTAATTGACAAATGCAATCGACGCCAGAGATTCACGTAATCGGTAATGAATTGTGTGATTTATTTAATATCAGGGGTATTTACTCAAATGCAAGACTATTATTTTAGAGTAACAACACATACAACATGTGGACAAGTATGGTTTTGAATGATGTGCCTGTTTGGATGAATCCACTTCTTTCCTAATGTGCCCATCTACTATCAGTTCATCGCACATAAATGACACTAAAACAAACAATAAATAGTACTTATACCGGTATACAGTGGCAGCTAGAGTAAAGACTCTCCATTCAGTGGAGCAGTGGAGCTTGTATGCAAAGAGATTAGCTAAATCATTCCCAATACAGTTATTGATGAATTTCCAATATCCTTAGCATATTGAACTGTCACTTTAGAATTTGGATCAACTCAGGATTATGCTGTGTAGTGGGGTGGTTTAGCAAATCCCTTGTGCACTTTGTGATTAAAGTACCAAATTTGACACATATGTAGATTTATGTAACATGAAAATATTTCAAAAAGGAGCCACCTCAGATTTGGCCACTGGAGGGCAAACTCTGTAATACATGTTATATTTCTGAAGACTGAAAAAAAACATCACATTTGGCACAGAGGTATACATGTATCCTGAAAATATTTAGATATGGAGCCACCACAGATTTGGGGGCCCCTGGGTGTCCTGGCAGTCAATTTACGAAATGGCCACAGACTAGATGTCTTCACGGGTCCACCCGAACCCGAATACCCGAGACCTGACCCCGGACCCGAGCAGGTCCGGGTCCATAATTCTAACTTTTTGGACCCCGAGAAGAATAAAATTTTACAGTTCAGATGACCTATTTTGAGATGAGCACACCTAATTTGGCACAAAGGTCGATTTAGGTACCCTGAAAAGATTTAGATATGCAGCCCCACATATTTAAAATGTGTTAATCAGATGCTTCTGAAACAACAGGTGTGGACTAACAGTGAAATGCTTACTTACGGGCCCTTCCCAACAATGCGGAGAGAAAGAAAATAAATAACAGAAAAGTAAAACACGTAACAATAAAAGTAATAATAGATACACAATGAGTAAAGATAACTTGGCTATATACAAGGGGTACCAGTGCAGAGTCGATGTGCAGGGGTACGAGGTAATTGAGGTAGATATGCACATAATACTAGGAATAAAGTGACAGATAGTAAACAGTAGCAGCAGTGTATGTGATGAGTCAAAAAGGTTAGTGCAAAAAGGGTCAATGCAGATAGTCCGGGTAGCTATTTGGTTAACTGTTTAACTATTTAACAGTCTTATGGCTTGGGAGTAGAAGCTGTTCAGGGACCGGTTTCAGACTTTGTGCATCGGGACCGCTTGCATAGAGAACAGTCTATGACTTGGGTGGCTGGAGTCTTTGACCATTTTTTGGGCCTTCCTCTGACACCACCTGCTATAGAGGTCCTGGATGGCAGGGAGCTCGGCCCCAGTGATGTACTGGGCTGTACGCACCACCCAGTTGCAGAGGGAGGTTTTTAGTCCCAGGGTCCTTAGCTTAGGGATGAGCTTGGAGGGCACTATGGTGTTGAACGCTGCACTGTAGTCAATGAACAACATTCTCACGTAGGTGTTCCTTTTGTCCAAGTGGGAAAGGGTAGTGTGGAGTAATAGAGATTACGTCATCTGGGGATATGTTGGGGTGGTATGCAAATTGGAGTGGGTCCAGAGTGTCTGGGATGATGATGTTGATGTGAGCCATCACCAGCCTTTCAAAGCATTTCATGGCTACAGATGTGAGTGCTACGGGGCGCTACTCATTTACACAGGTTACCTTGGCGTTCTTGGGCACAGGGACTATGGTGGTCTGCTTGAAGCATGTAGGTATTACAGACTGGGTCAGGGAGGTTGAAAATGTCAGTGAAGACACTTGCCAGCTGATCGGCGCATGCTCTGAGTACGTGTCCTGGTAGTCCGTCTGGCCCTGCGGCCTTGTGAATGTTAACCTGTTTAAAGGCATTACTCACATTGGCTATGGAGAGCGCGATCACTCAGTCATGCGTAAAAGCTGGTGCTCTCACGCATGGTTCAGTGTTGCTTGCCTCGAAGCGAGCATAGAAGGCATTTAGCTCGTCTGGTAGGCTTGCGTCACTGGGAAGCTCATGACTGGGTTTCCCTTTCCAATCCGTGATAGTTTGCAAGCCCTGCCACATCCGACGAACGTCAGAGCAGATGTAGTAGGACTCGATCTTAGTCCTATACTGACGTTTTGCCTGTTTTGTGTTTCGCCGGAGCGCATAGCGGGATTTCTTATAAGCGTCCGGGTTAGTGTCCTGCTCTTTGAAAGCGGCAGCTACATTTGGTCCCTGGGGGCAGCCATCTTACTAAATGGACTGTACCACATTAGTAAATAAATAAGCTATTTCAAGTATTTTGATAAGCTATTTCAAGTAAGCTATTTTAAGTAAATAGAAAAGCTATTTAAAGTATTTTGCTCTATGCGATCCAACCCGGAGTGAAGTTTAAAAAATAGGCTATAGTAGAATTTAACAGTAGAGCAGACAGTTATTTTCCATTGAAGTATATAGGCTAGGCTACTACTGTAAGTCTGAATCATAGAAATAGAATCTCATTCTAGTTCTGTGTTCTGAAAAGCCTACTGTAACCTGATTTCTAATTTCTCGAGTAGACAATGTTTCAGAATTCGCAGGCAGTGTAGCAATGCAAAACATTGTTTAATTAAAGTGTTCTGCCGGTCCACAACAACTTTTGACCAGTAGTGTATTTATACATACATACATACATACATACATACATACATACATACATACATACATACATACATACATACATACATACATACATACATACATACATACATACATACATACATACATACATACATACATACATACATACATACATATAAACTCAGCAAAGAAAGAAACGTCCCTTTTTCAGGACCCTGTCTTTCAAAGATAATTTGTAAAAATCCAAATAACTTAACAGATCTTCATTGTAAAGGGTTTAAACACTGTTTCCAATGCTTGTTCAATGAACCATGAACATGCACCTATGGAACGGTATTTAAGACACTAACAGCTTACAGATGGTAGGCAATTAAAGTTACAGTTATGAAAACTTAGGACACTAAAGAGGCCTTTCTACTGACTCTGAA